CACACAGGTATGTAATTCCAAGACAAGGGTACCACCTAAGCTCTTCAGACATGAAGCATCATTTTTAATGCTAAAGTATCTCCTCGAAGCAACACAAAGCAGCAAATTTCATATTCTGCAAGAGAAAAGTTTACTAAAAGCTAAGATGAGATGAAAGAATATTTCATTGCACACATCCTATACAGGAGTTTCACTCAGATGTGAAACACTCTCACTCTGCACTGCTACACAAAGATTTCATTGCCTTTTCATAATGAAAAGCAATTAAAAAGCCAACCTAAAAGCGTAGCTCCGACATGTTGAGTGTTCTTAATGAGATGAAGGTCAAATTTTGATGTTATTTCAAATTAAATGATCACAAAGATGAGTATTAAATAGGCAACCACCTTCAAACCTCTGGTTTAGCTTGAAAATTTATATGCCATTAATGCTGCTAATTAAAAGAAAGAATATTAATGGTTATATCAGAGAGAATTCTTGACTAAGGATGCAATTAGCTATAAACTGAATGACTATATTTAATCTCCTTAGCTTCTCACTTAAACTTCTGCCAAGCCACAACATTTGGGAAAAACTTCGGAAACAACCACATAAGGAGCCTGTAAAATAGGAACAGGCAGAATGAGAGGATTCTCCTTTATTTATACATCCTTCACTGGATCTTTTAGCCTACAGGCTTCTGATTGGATTGATTTTGGTGGGCTCCATGGGGACAAGAGACCATTAAGGATTTTTGGAAACAACAGATGGTTTATTCTGGGAATTCCTGGATATACAAACACTTTTTCTGCATGTTTAGAAAGCTCCTAGAAGAATCTCCTGTGGATGAAGCGGGGCACAGCAGAGCAGTCAGCCTGCACCACCCAGGACGTGTATTCTTGTTAAGATAAAGGAACCTGCTGCGTGTATTTGAAACCTAAAGTTCTCACACACAGCAATCTATATGAAGCAGCAGCGTTGCTTTTGTTGTATTCTTATCAGAGAAAGAACCTCATGTTTGAACGCCACCACAGAGTAAAACCATAGCAGACACTCAGGTACTTGACTGCAAAGTATCTGAAGGCTGGGAAGAAAGAGGTTTCAGTTTACTGCCAAACTTCAGCCATTTAGTGAAGAATTCATGGTCTGAACTCATTTGACGGTGTCTTTGGACAGGCTTTCTCCTAAAGAACTGTTCCTTGCATCAAAGGATTCCTTCAACATACCTTGCTTTGGTTTTGTTCTCTATCATTTATATATGTATATGTGAGACAACACTAAGATGGCTCAAGCCTTACAAAACATGGCTCACTCCACAAAGCACTTACGGCTTTGGGGAATTCCCTCTCCCATTCCAGGATACACTACCTATCCACGGCTTCACAGGGACACCACTGCTGCTGGGACCTCCGATGGGATGAAAACCAGCAACACAACGTGCTTGCAGAAGGCCCAGGAAAAGCCGGGCTGCATCAAGTCATCTGGGACAGCAGATCTGCTGTCTCCATACCCAGCTAAAGGCCTCCACTGGAGAATTACAGCCAAATTTAAGCCCACTATAGGGGGGCACGGAGCTACCCCCTTCACTGTGCTGGTGGCTAAAGCAGAACATAGGACAGATGCTGGAACACAAAGGTGGGTCCCATGCTTGGGGGGGGGACGGGACGGGACAGGAAAGGGGTGTTTGCATTCCATATGGGAAGCACATAAACCATGTGTGGGGAGTGGCATCACCGAAGGATGGGTCAACATCTCACGCTGGCAGGAAGACACACAACACAAAAGGGGACCATGACCCTAAAGGGGGGCTTACATCTCACACCGCACGGGGGATGGGGGGATGAAGCAAAATGGGGCTCTCCTCTCACGTCCTGGGGAGGGAGGCACCACCCAAAGGTGGGTCCCACAGGTTGAGGGGGAACCCCTTGGGATCCCCCCACCCCATTGCGACACGGGAGGGGGGGCGTGGCCAGACCGAAAAGGGGCGGCCCCGGGAAGGCTGGCGGAGGGGGGGGCTCCCGGGGAGGGGGCGTGTCCTCGATAAAAGGGGGCGTGTCTCCCCTTCTCCCCCCCCCCCCCGGAGCGGGCGGTAACCGGGGGGAAGGGAAGGTGTGAGAGGCTGGGCGGGGGGGAAGGAAGAAACCACGTCTCCCCGTAACATGGCCGCGGCCTTCTCCACACCTGCGCCACATGGCGCTCGCCCACCCTTCTCCGCGCCCACACCGCCACACCCGCGCTTAGCGGCAGGAAGCGGAGACGCCGCCACCACCACCAGCGCCCGCCCCCCCGCCCCCCGCTCCCCGCTCCCCTTCCCTTCCGAGGCCTGGCGGGCCTGGAAGCACCTACCCGAAGCCATGGCGGCGGCCGGTAACCGGGCTGGAGGGGACCGAACGACGGAAGGACCGAGCGCCGCGCCAGCCGCGCGCACACTGGGGCACCCGCAGCTCGCGCGGACTGCGGGGCCCCGTAGCCAATCGGCTGGCGCGGCGCCTACCACTCGTGTGGGGAAGTAGGGGTGGAGGGGAAGGGCCGTACCAAGTGAGCGCGGTGGGAGGGGGGGGTGGGTGATGGGGGCAGCAGGGGGTGTGCTCGGCGCTGTGCGGGGATGCGCGGGGAGGGTGGGATATTAAAGTGATTAAATCGGTTTAATTTACACGCAGGGTGATGAGAGGGATGCTGGTGAGGGAAGCAGGGCATGCGCCTGCTTGTGCATCGCCATTTGGGGCGGGATGCTAAGACAGTGGTAGGACAAGAGGTGATGGGTTTAAACTTAAACAGGAGATATAGGTTGGATATAAGGCAGAAGTTATTGCCTGAGGGTGCTGAGGCGCTGGCCTAGAGAAGCTGTGGCTGCCCCATCCCTGGCAGTGTTCAAGGCCAGGTTGGACACAGGGGCTTGGAGCAAGCTGCTCTAGTGGAAGGGGTCCCTGCCTGTGGCAGGGGTTGGAACTGGAGGAGCTTTGAGGTCCCTTCCAACACAAACCGGGCTGTGGTTCTATGAGAGAGTTAAAAGAAAACATCCAAAATCTGGGTCCTAAAATAAGAAAGGTTCGTCAGAGTTTCTGACTGTCTCAAAAAGGCAAATATCGACTTGGAGAGAGGCTTTCCAAGCAAAGGGGTCGTGATGCTGGGAGCCACTTCTAGGAAAGGAGGGACGTCAGAAAGGAAGATTAAGGAGGAATGAACCAAAACAGCAGTGAAAGCAGCATTGATTATTCCATCCGGCTGGGGTTTCAGCAGCCTCTCAGTTCAAGCTGCCTTCCTGCGAGAGGGAGAGCCAACAGTTGCATGCTTTCTGCCTGGTGGCAGCCTGCACATGCTTCAGCGAGGTTTTACCCTGAATCTTTTACTTTTCAAGGCAGTGAAGGGCGTTCTCTGGTTTCAACTAATGGGTTAAGCAGATTTGCAAGTAATATGGGCTGTTTCTTCCCCCCTGGGCATAGCAGCAGGAAGCAAATCCCACTGCCACAGCCTAAAATACGTTTCTGCAGAGCAAGCAGTGGCCAGAATGATTACAACAAAAAAGGGGGTTGAGCTCTCTGCCCGGCTTTTGCTTTCTCCTTGAAAAGCTTCATCTCCTCCAGCCTCGACATCTCCTGCATCATTGGGCTTCAACAACCTGGGATCCCTCAGCAGGATTAGGGCAGATCCCAAACAATGCTCCATAGCCAGGGGCAGGGTGGGAGTGCTGGTGGGATCTTTGGCTCTGTGTTGAGTCTCTCAGTGCCTTGGTGTTCCTCAGAGACTGAAGGATTCCCATGAATGGAAAATGGCATTAATGGAGATGGAGCGATGAGCTCCCGTGAGCCTGCTGCCACAGCCGTGGTGTGTTCTCCTGTTGCCCCCAGTCAAAAGCTTTGAAGCTGGGATGGGGAAAAGGTGTTGGCCCCTCAGTGCTCTGCTCACCCCCCTTGGCTGGAGGTGATCCCAACCGCTTCAAACTCTTTCCTCACTTTGCAAAATCAGAGGGGGTATGGGAAGGTGAATCATAGAATGGGTTGGGTTGGAAAGGACCTTAAGCTCATCCAATTCCAACCCCTGCCATGGAGAGGGACACCTCACACTAAACCAGGTCACCCAAGGCTCTGTCCAACCTGGCCTTGAACATCGTCAGGGATGGAGCATTCACAACCTCCCCAGGCAACCCATTCCAGTGCCTCAGCACCCTTACAGTAAAGAACTTCTTCCTTATATCCAATCTAAACTTCCCCTATTTAAGTTTGAACCCATCACCCCTTGTCCTATCACTACAGTCCCTAATGAAGAGTCCCTCCCCATACCCTTGTAGCCCCCTTCAGACACTGGAAGCTGCTCTGAGGTCTCCATCAGCTTCTCTTCTCCAGGCTGAACAGCCCCCATGTTCTCAGCCTGGCTCCATACAGGAGCTGCTCCAGCATCTGAGCATCCTCGTGGCCTCCTCTGGACTTGCTCCAGCAGCTCCATGTCCTTATGCTGAGGCTCCTTCCCATGTGGATGACACCTCACTGTTCTCTCCTTAGACATGAGCCAGCGACTAGGGTCTCATCTGGAGGAGGAGCTGGGGGCTGCAGTGTCTCTGCCACGTAACTGCTCCGCTTGCTGCTGGGGCCTCCCATCGCCATTGGAGCAAAGCCTCTATTTCTCTCTTCTTTTCTCCTCCTCTCTTCTCTCCTCACTCAGGGGCTTCACCCCATCCGCCGCTTCCCTTGTTGCACACACCCTGTAGACAGACAGCAAAGCGGTTCCAGCAGGTTCATAACCACTGACATGGAGGACGCCTGTCTTTGAGCATCCTGCTCCTCTCCACCTCCACCCCGAAGGGAAACGCGCGGTCCAGCCCACCAGGGCTAACCGGACCCCGGGTAACCCTGCCGGGCCTTCCCGGCGCAGCAGGGCCTTAGCGGGAGGGCCGGCGGGCCGCGAGCCGCTGCTGCCCCCTCCCCAGGGGTTGTTTTTCCATCCTGCAAAAGGGGAAATAAAAGAATTAGAAATAATTAAAATTTAAAAGGAGGGAGAAAAAGAAACCCCTCCCGCCCGTCTCCATGGTAACAGCCCCGCGTTGCCACGGCAACGGCCCGTGCCTTCCGGCGGCGGCCGGAAGCGGGGCGGTTTGCGGAAGCATGGCCCCGCCGTGGGCTCCGGCTCCGCTCCCGGCCGCCGCTGCCCTCACGCTGCTGCTGTCACTCGGTGCCTCCGCGCCCGGGCTGCTGCGGGGAGCTCCCGCTGCCCGCTCCGCTGCCGCGCTGCGGCCCGCGGCCTTGCGCGCCGGGGAAGGTGAGCGGGGGCCCCTCCATGGTCCCACTGCCGATCCCCCATTGCAGGCCTTCCCTGGGCCCCCGCAGCGAGCCTTTGCTTCCCTTCTCTCCTGGCCTCCCTGAACAGAACCCCTCGGTCCGCCCTCTTCACCCCCTGTTTCTGGGCGCTTCCTCGAGTCCCTCACCCAGCCTGCTGCTCCCTCCGTGGCTTCTCCATGACCCGCACCGTGCCCCTTGTTTCCCCCCCAGCCCCTTCCCCTCAGCAGCCGGCTCCTGTATCAGACTGCTTCCCCCTCGGCCCTGCCTCTGTGACACTGTGCAGCGTGGGTACCCTGCTAAGAGCTGCAGGGGTTTGCTTTCCTCAGTTTGCTTCCTTGTGCTATTCCCAGAAGGATTTTTATCACTCTTTTAATCCCTATGTTCTTGCTTGCCCCCAGGGAGTGATCTCTTTTAGCAGTGCAGCGCTCTGAGATGGTGGGTGAATTCTGCCATCTCCTCCCACGTGTCCAAGGAGCGCAGTTGGGTTGCACCGGGTTGTATTCACAACTACTGTTTTCCTGGCTGTGGGACTGAGGGAGAACTCTGGCTCCATCCTCACTGGGTGCCCAGAAGAACAGCTAACCTGAGGTTACTTCTGGTAACCTGCAGGCATTTTTTGGTGAGAAAGCCAGCCTCTTAGCAGTTTGAGTAGTGTTTATCCTTTGAGCAAAATCCCAGGTACAACACCAGTCGTTTTTATGTCTCCTGCCTTCTCTTTTAATGAGACTGAAATTTACTACAGATGCTGTTCCTTTTCTCCAGGCAACTTCCCAGGAAGCAGCAAGAGTCAGTCCCTGTGTCTGCGATACCCAAGATAGCGCTTACTTTAACTGATGATTTATGACTGATTTTAAAGCATTCAAGTTCTCTTCTGCACCGGGATAGAAATGAAAGCCATTAATCCTTGTAGGCTCGCGCTCCCTCTTGCTCAAGCGTGTTCATTGTAGTGGTTGCAAACAAATGCATTGCTGCCTCTGCCTTTCTAAAGTGCTGGTGTGCTCAGTCTACAGGTTGATTACCTACATCTTTGTCTATGAAGACCTGATATCCCTGACCTGCGGTGCCATTATCATCTGGTATTTTGCTGGCAGCTTTGAGAAGAACGTGGGCACTGTGAAGCACTGCTTCCTCACCGTCGCTTTTGCTGTCCTCTCTGCCCTCCTCTACCTCTTACTCGAGCCCGTTGTCTCGAGGCTGTCAGAGGTGGAAGACGCCGAAGGATTCATGCCAGTAGCTTTTGCTATGCTGGGTGTCTCCACCACCCGCTCACGGATGAAGAGGACTCTCTTTTTTGGGGTTAGAGTCCCGGTGGTGCTGGTGCCATGGTCTATGCTCTGCATTGCATGGTTTATCCCTCATTCTTCTCTCTTGAGTAACCTGTGTGGGCTCTTAGCTGGGGAAGCCTGTATCCTTTCCAAGTGAAGCCCTGAACCAGAGTGGGATCGCTGGCTCACGAGGGGGAGGACATCCTGCAGTTCTTACTGCCAGATGCACTGGCTTTATGCTGTTTCCTGGGCTCTTGCTTTGCATTAAACTGTCACTGGTTTTGTTGGTCCTCATCCCACCCAGTTCTGCATTTGTTTTTTACCTCATGCTTCCACTTCCCTGTGGCTTTGGTGCATGCAGAGAACACAGAGCAGAGAAGGCTCTGGGTAGAACTGGGAGGATTCTCCAAGGGAAAGTGATTCGTGGCCAGAGGGGGATTGCATGTGACTGTGTTAGGAATGAGTGGGCTTTGTCTGTGGTCCTCCTTAACATGCTGCTGACTTCAGATGGGCTTGGCTACTGTTTCTGCTTGGATTTTCCAGAGTCGGTGGGCTCTAGGCTGGACCGGGTGTTCCCTTTCAGCCTGCTGAAGAGGATACCAGGGCTGAAATATATCCCAGGGTCCTCAGCAGAGAGAAGAGCCTTGGAAAGCAGCAAGTAAGTACGGGAGTTACTGTGAAAGATCTTATGATAGAGGAGAAATTTGAAGCCTAAGTAGAAGCATCAAGTTGCCTTTAAGAGCTGTATGCTTGTTGTGCTCATATCTTAGGTGTTAGGAGGAACATACTGATGTTACGCTGCTGACATTACAGTGACAAATACATTATCCCGCATTAATTCAACCAGGTCTTTCAGTGAAAGCTAAACTGAAGTGATCTACCTCTCACCTGCTGCAAGGGCAGTGTGTGCACATGCAAAGGTGTTGCAGCTGGGCTGACATGAAAGCTAAATTGTGTAGTTCTGCCCCAAATTAAGATTTACAGTGGGAGCTGTATGGCTCCCTCAGGCATGATCTTTATCTTTCTTTGCCCCACCTCTCTTCCCAGGATGCTGCGAGGTGAGTTGTGTCCAAACCTCTGCAAGAGCAGAGCATCATAAATTGAAGATGTCATGAAGTTCAGTGTAAACTTTTCAATGCATTATTTCAGCGTCAAAGCAAGATTGCATTAGCAAAAAGAAACCTTGGGGCCTGTGGCTGACGTTTAGGAATGGTTTTAAGTTGGGTGGATCACAAGCCGTGAGAACACCCTTGTATTCTAAAACAGGTTAGAAATGTAGGTCAATTTTTCCCTATTCTAAGATGTGATTTCAGCTGTCTATTAAAGGTTAAACTCTACATATTGTGTAAGCCATCAGCTCACTGTAAAGCTTTGTGATGGAAACATTCCCAAGTGTTTGCATCTGCCCTCAGCTGTGGGGAGACCATAAAAGAAACCCTTGCCTGCAGGAGGAGGGTACCCCAGATCCAGTGGGGCAACTCAGACATGTGAGCGCTTGCAGGGGAGGCCAGGCAGATGCAGCAGCGTTTGTGGTTTCACTCTCTCCCTTCTGTGCAAGGGCTGTTTTGGGGAAGAGGGACTGTCTCACTGCTGTGCGGTGTCTGAATCAGTCTCATGCTTCTGCTGATGATTGTTGCACACAGCACCTCAGCCCTGTGTCTAAACCTGCTTGCCTCAGGTGAGATGACATAAATAGACTGTTCTGCCTCAAAGGTATTTACATAAACATTTACATTCAAGCAGGGTGTGGGAAGGTGTTTCTAGATCTTTCCATTGTTGCAGCTGAATTTGCATGACTCTGTGTCTTAGACACAAGTTCTAGACGTGCATCTGGGGCTTACTTTTGTATTAGTTTGATTCTTATTCCCAAGCAAAAGCTCTTGATGGCTTTTTGTTGGGTTTTTCTCTTTAAATTGTCCTAAGACTTCAGGTATCAACTTGGCACCAGGCAGGAGACACTTCCAGGAGGTCCAGGCTTTGGCATCACAATAAAAATAACCCCAAACCAAACCCACACCTCATATAAAATAGAATCCAAACCCCCAGCATGAGCCACTCTGTTATTCTTGCTGGGAATCTGGCAGTCATGTTCTTCATGAGTATTGTCTTGATTCAGTGGTGAGCGTGGGCTGAGCAGTACTCCTGAAGTCCCAGAGGCTTTGGCTTCCAGGCAGCTCTTGATACTTCCATCGGGATGAGTCATGCCTGCTGTTGGCAAAGGCTGTTTCTAGGCCTTGCTTCTGAATGATTAATGTTACTTGTAACTCTCTCTTCCTTCCCTTTTCACTCTATACCCTGGTCTCTTACTCGCACCAAAGGCCTTTATGGCTTCTTGATAAATAATAGTTGGCAGCTGTGGCTTCTCCTGATTAATAACTGAGCAGATGTGTTGTTCAGTGGAAGGGAGGGAGGATGCATATGCTAATTTTCAAGCACATTGAAGTTTGGCTTGAGTATTCCTTGCACAGAGACCAAGAATCAAGCTCCTTCAGTGGGTGTGGAATTGCTGTGGGTTGGAAGTGGGAACATCTGTCCTGGGAGGCCGGTAAACCTGTTTTTACTTGAGTGCTGCTTATAATTAGAGCTTCTCCTGTAATGAATCCCTCTGATGGATTGCAGTGACCTTTCTAAGCACTGGTCAGGAGGAAATCTGCCCTCAAGGCGATTCCATCACTAGGCAATGCCAGTTCTGAGCACACTGTAACCTTCTGTTTTCTTCCTTCCCAGGATTAACCCTTCACCAGGCACTTACCCAACCCAAAGCTACTACTGCGCTTCGCCTCCGGCTTTTCCTACTTTCCAGATGCAGCATCCCAGTGTTCACAGTCAGGGGTTTCAACACAGCTGTGCTCCAGGCTATGGTGAGGGATCTCAGCACAGCCACACTGCAGGGCACAGCCTCATGTCTTCCTCCTACCAAGCCAGAGGTGCCTCTGGAGGGTGCTACATGCAGTCCCACACTGGAGCCTTGCCTGGACAGTGCTGCCAGTTCTCCCCATCATCGCACACATGCCTGACTGACCCACAGACACTTGCAGGTCCGATGCCCCCGGCTGGTGTTCAGCAAGCACTGGGGTATCCAGCACCCACAAGGGCTCCTGTTCCAGCTGAACTTTCAGGGGTCCAGGTGTACTGATCCTCCAGAAAGCAGCAGGACTCTTGTACCATGCAGGACCATTGTGCAGCAGTGCATTGCTGGCATCTTTGCTGTGTCTGGGGTAACTGTGGAGTGGGTTAGTAGGTCCAGCGTAGACCATTCCCCTGCCCCCTGGCCCAGGAGGCTTTATTATATTTCTTTAATAATTATTTTTTTAACTCTTTTGGATATTGCTGGGGGTGGGACTCATTTCTGTGTTTCTCATCCTTTTGGAGTCTTGTTTTCATTGCTGTATTTAGCAGCTGCCTTTTTCCATGCTTCCACTCGAGCTGTAGTGCATCAGCTCCCTGACTCAAGCTAGGAACCCAGTTGCCAAAACACTGGACTAATCTGGGGTTTAACTAGGCTGCAGTGTTACGACGTGCTCCATCTCTTAGCCTTAATCTCCTATCTTGTTTACAGACCCTAAAGAGGTTTAAATCATGAAAGCCTTGGTTTATAACTCAATATTTGAGTGAAGGACAGATGTCTTTTCTACCAGTGGCTTCTCCACTAAGAGTGTGCCTTGAAGGGGGCTTGTTAAACCAGGGTGGGCAAGAGGGCATAATACAGAGCATCCCTTTCTGCCCCCCAAAACACAGCTCTGAAATGCTGAAGGTCCTTTTTAGCTGCAGTCTGTGCATGCATCAAAATGTTGCCTTCATTTTCTGACAGCCCTGTGCTAGCTCAGCCTGTGTGCCTCTTCAGTAAGGGTTTTTTGGCATTTGTGAGGCAAATGTGTATAAATCCAAGGAGCTGGGAGGGACCATAACAGTGGGTTAGAAGAATTGACTGGAATGTGGCAATGCCATTGGGGGTGTTCACACAGCTCAGCTTTAGATGTTTCACCCACCAATATTAGCACAATCTCTCTCTGTTTTCTTCAGAGCTGATGGAAAGGGATAGGGGAGGTTTCAGCAAAGGATTCAAAGCAGGATGCAGTGTTTGGTGCCTGTGGCAGTAACAAAGGATGTTGGTTGAATAGGTGGGACTTGAGCTTTATTTCCAGCTGTGTGGCTGCTTTACTGTGCCATGCCCAGGAGGAATCTGTGCTCTCTTATTTGGAAGTTAAAAGCATGGTTTTGATGTCAGGAAGGAAATGCTATAGATAACATTAGCATCTTGATACTCCACTCTTAGTGCCTTGGTTTTCCTCCTTGTGAGATCCTTGCCTGCAAACCTAAGAATTTTATCACTGTTCATTCCAGAAACCTGCTGGAAAGGTTGATGAGGACTAGTAGCAATTGCAAATGATGTATACCTCCAAACTGGAAGCTTGAAACACAGTCTGAAAGACAAACTACTACGTCTCTGAGATTGCTTTCAAGTGGGGATGTGTTGTGCGCCCCTCCGGGTGGGATGGGGACCGTGGGTCCCGCTGTGTTGGTCTGATGACTGCTGGGTGCCTGTGAGGCTGGTGACAAAGGACACACACTGGGAGTGAGCGGTACTGCACGTTGGAAAACGCTCCTGGGGCTGCAAACCGGTTGTTTTTCCTTTCTGACTCTTATCAGTTGATCTGATAAGAGATCACTCTCCCTGCAGAGCCAGCAAAGGGATGGCATCTTTCCAGCCAGTAGTGTCACAGCCTTACAGTGATCCAGGGAGCCCTGACCTGTGAGAATCACTATAGCATCACTGGTAGCAGTGAAAACAGCCCCAGGCTTGGCTGCTGTGGGGAACAGACAGAAAACCTTTACATCCCCCTGCAGTGGGAGTATGTGCAGGGAGCAGGCACCAGCCCCTGACCTTTCCGTGCTGGGACAAGGTGAGCCCAGGGGATGGGACGCGGTGGGATGGGCACAAAGCCACAGGTTGGGGTTTTCCCTTTGTGAGTTCCTGGTGACCCTGGCAGATCACTTGGGCTCTCTCTGATCTCTTCCACCGCATTCCCAAGGCTGTTCCACATCCAGCTGCACGACTGCCGTGGTGCCTGCGTGTCACTTGCGATGTTGTACCCGTCCTCAGTGGCCTTCAGATGGATGTTTGCAATGATCCCTTTTTTCCCTGGTGAAGTCTGTTCCCTGCTTTCCCGAGAGCCACCGCACGGTGCAATGCTCTTGTACAATCAGCTGAGGACCTTCTGCTCCTCCAGCAGTGGAGTCCCAGCGAATCCCAGTTTCCCAGTGCTGGTGGCAAACTCGGAACTCCTCACCCAGGGAAGTTGCTGGATGAAAGGAAGAGGTCGGGATGAGACATTTGCAAATGTGTTTAAGGCTGAAAAGAGGAATTTGTAAGAGAGGGAGGTAAAAATCATCAGCTCATTGGGCTTTGGCATTTGCCTAACAGTTCACAGCGCTAGTGGTTGCATGTTGCAGTACCAGGTCATTGCCTTGGAGGGGAGTCAGAGAATCAAAGTTCCTAAAACGGGGGGGAGGAAAAAAGGGTTAAAATAACGGATAAATTCCCAGTTCAGCCTGGACGTGCTGTGCCTGGGGGTTGTTATTGCTGTTATTGCCTGCATTCCCAGGAAAACTGCCACTTCTGTCAATGCCAGGGTTGCATCCACTCTGGAAGCAGGATGAGTCCAGAGAGCCCCTTGTGTTGCCCCTGTGTCCTCACTGCAGAGTGACAGGAGCCTGGGGACAGGCTGCATCCCCTCTGCTCTTCTGCACCCACATGGTGTGAGAGACAAGCAGTCAGGAAGAAGGAAAGCAGAACTGACTTGGACCTGCACCACTGCCCCATGTTGGGAGCACGGGGAAGCCTGGCATTGACGCTGGAGGAAAATCAGGTCTGTATTTGTCAGCTTTCCTGTTGCTCATTCATTTGTGGCGAAGCACACGCATGCAGATGTAGATGCAGATACTTGTGCCGTGGCCAAGACACTGCCAAACATCACCTCTGTGTTGGTCCCATGGGGTCCCACCTCGTTTGCCAGCACTGCGGGAGCTCCATGGGCAAAAGCTCAGCCCCAGCCTGTGCTGGAGATGGAGGAGAGCCAGAGAGGTGTGAGCAGGGCGTGCGGGACAAGTATGCAAGGAGACAAAGCACCCACCAAACAGGTCCCTGCGGGCTTCCCTGCCCTCTGGAGGGTTTGGGCCGGGTGTGATGAGAGCCCAGCCCCTTCCTTGCAGGAAGAGAATGGGATGGGCTGTGCTGTGGTGCCTGTCCCCGCTCCGGGCACTTAACGGGCTGGGATAACCCCAAACCATGGAACAGCTCTGTCCTGCTGTCCTGCCGCAGGTGATCTTTAACCTCCGGCCATTCACCCCATGGGGGAGAGTCACAGACCGGAGTTTGTGACCCCAGAGAGGTTCTGTGGGGTCAGTCCCAGAGCCAATGTACCCCGAGTGGCCCCTGAGCCCTCTTGGATGCTGTCCTGAACGGGCATCGGTGCCGCCCTGGGCATCGCTGACCCAAAGCTGATGCTTTTTGGGTCCAAGCCCCCTCCTCGCCCCGCTCCTTCCCTCCTCGGGTGCCTGCCAGCCCTGGCTCAGCCACCGCAGACTTTGCACCTTCCATGAGGGCTTTATTGACTCGGAAGCCAGCGTCAACACAGCGATAGCGGCAGGACCGCGGCTCTGATGTGCCAGGGAGGGGACCCAGCCCTGGGGTGACCCCATGCACGATGCTGGAGCCTGGTGTGGGGCTGAGCTGGGCGTAGCAGAGCCGTGATCCAGCAGCACAAAGAAAGGGGAGGGGAGAGCCCCAGCCCCGATGTGCCCGCGGGAGCCGGGGTCTGTGCTGCAAAACCCGTCCCGAGGAGCTGCTTGTGCAACCCCCGGGGCTGCAGCGGGAGGAGAGGCTTCCCCGAAGCATCCCACCCGTCCGGTTTGCGGCTCCATCACCGGCGGGCTTGGATCTGCTGCTCTGCCAGGCGGAGCGGCCCCTCCATCCACAGGCAGGGAGGGACGGAGGGAGCTGGTGCCCCAGCCTCCCGTAAGTCCTGCCCCGGGCATTGGGGGTCCCACAGCACTACAGTGTGCAGCCAGGGGTCTGCGGGTCCTGGCTCTGCCTGTACCCAGCGCTGATTCATACCCTGACCCTAAAACCAACCCCAAACCAAACCTGACCTTAAATCAAAAGAGACCTTTAATAAAACCTGCCCCCAAAATAAACCTGACCCTGAAACCAGCCCCAAACCAAGCCTGACCCTAAAACCAGCCCCAAACCAAGCCTGACCCCAAAACTGACCCTAAAACCAGCCGCAAACCAAACCTGACTCCAAACCTGACCCTAAAACCAGCCCCAAACCAGATCTGACCCTAAATCTGACCCCAAACCAAACCTCACCTTAAATCAAAACAGACCTTAAATCAAACCTGACCCCAAAATAAACCTGACTTTAAAGCCAGCCACAAACCAAGCCTAACCCTAAAACCAGCCCCAAACCAAACCTGACTGCAAACCTAACCCTACACCTGACCTGACACTAAATCAAAACAGACCTTAAATCAAACCTGACCCCAAAATAAACCTGACCCTAAAACCGGCCCCAAACCAAGCCTGACTCCAAACCTGACCCTAAAACCAGCCCCAAACCCTAACCCCAAACCTAACCCTAAACCTGACTCCAAACCATACCTGACCCTAAATCAAAATAGACCTTAAATCAAATCTGACCTCAAAAGAAACCTGACCCTAAAACCACCCCCAAACCAAACCTGACCCCAAACCAGACCCGACCCTAAATCAAAATAGACCTTAAACTAAATCTCACCCTAAAATAAACCTGACCCTAAAACCGACCCCAAACCAAGCCTGACTCCAAACCTGACCCTAAAACCAGCCCCACACCAGACCTGACCCTAAATCAAACCTAACCCTAAAACCGACCCCAAACCAAGCCTGACTCCAAACCTGACCCTAAAACCAGCCCCATACCAGACCTGACCCTAAATCAAACCTAACCCTAAAACCGACCCCAAACCAAGCCTGACTCCAAACCTGACCCTAAAACCAGCCCCATACCAGACCTGACCCTAAATCAAACCTAACCCTAAAACCGACCCCAAACCAAGCCTGACTCCAAACCTGACCCTAAAACAAGCCCCATACCAGACCTGACCCTAAATGAAACCTAACCCTAAAACCGACCCCAAACCAAGCCTGACTCCAAACCTGACCCTAAAACCAGCCCCATACCAGACCTGACCCTAAATCAAACCTAACCCTAAAACCGACCCCAAACCAAGCCTGACTCCAAACCTGACCCTAAAACAAGCCCCATACCAGACCTGACCCTGAATGAAACCTAACTCTAAACCTGACCCCAAACCAAACCTGGCCCTGGCCCCCACCCCATACCATACACACCCTAATCCTATCGCCTCCCCTGGGCCCTGACACCCCTAAACCCGCTCCGTGCCCCCCCGCACGCTGCTCCCTGTCCCTTTAAGACGCCCCATTACCCCGCCCGCCGTGGGGCCGTACCAACCGCAGAGGTGGGAGGGGGGGGGGACCTCCACGGGCGGGCGCGCTCGCAGCTCATTGGTGGGCGGTGGGGGCGGAGCGTGCTCCCCTTCCCCTTCCGCGCGTGTGCCCGAGTGGTTCGATCCGGGCGCGCCGGGGCTGCGGGCGCCGCCGACAGCTCCGGACGGGCCGCGGTGGGTGCGCAGGGCCTGGGGCCGGCCCTTGTGAACGGGGTGGGGGGGGTCAGGCCTGGGGGTTCCCTGTGGCTGAGGGGGGGTGGGCTCTGGTAGGGAAAAGGGGGGGTCTGGCCTCACTAATGGGGGGCGGTGGGGTGAATGGGCTGCTGTTGCACGGGGTGGGAGCACTGGTGTGTTTGGCCTGTGTTACTGGGGTCCACTGTATGCGGGGCTGGTGCGAGTGGCCCTTGGTTATTTGGGGGGAGGTTAATGTGGCTGGAGCCCTGTTATTGGGGGGGTGGGATGAGGAGAGCCTCTGTTATTGGTGGGGGTCTGGTGTGACTGGTTGCCTGTTACTGGGGGGGACTGGTGTGACTGGGATCCCCTGTATATATATGGGGTGGAGGGGGTGAGCCTGTCTCCTCGGTGGCTATAGGGCAGGAGTTAAGTAGGGCTGAAGAGATGCAAGGCAGGCGTGTGCTCTAGGGTGATGCCCACCCTGCATTGCATCCACAGCACTGCTTGTGCTTGCCGCATTCCAGGCTGCTGCGGGTTAAAAGCCTTACATGAAGTTATTTCTTTGGCACTTCCCTGCAGAATACAATCCCTGGCCTCTCAGTGACACCTTTGCTGCACGCTGGGCTGCTTTGCTGCTGTTCTACCTAACTGCTGGGGTGCTGGGAAGGTTGCCCTGTCTTTTCCTGCTGGAATTGCTTTGCAGTGCAAAGTTATTCCCTTAGGGAATGTGCTTGATGAAGGACATAATGGACACCCCCCCCCCCCCCCCCCCCCCACAGTTTGGGAATACTAAAGCTGGAGGGTGTGGAGACACCTGGATCACATTGTTGGCAGATAGTTATCAGCATGGAATTGGTTCTTAGGAAGTTGTCTTGCTTGTGGGATAAGCAGCTCAGGGCGTGCTTTGCTCTGCATGTGTCTCAACCATGGGTCAGCTTTCAGAGCGTGAGGAGGTATGGTGAAAGCAGGAATACCATCCAGGCTGGAAAAGCACAAAGCAGGATCAGGTCTCTGCTTCCAACTTCTGGAAGTGAAACAGTGCTGGTGTTGGTGGGGACATCCCTTCCTCCACAGTGCTGTGTGCTTTGTGTGGATCATGAGGAGTTTAGTGTTGGTTAGGGCAGAGCTGTGCGGAGTGGGGTGCCCTGCTGTACGCATCCCTTTGGATGGAAGGGGATGTGCTTTCTTCTGGAGTTTCCATAGCTCTCTGAGGAATCCCAATGAGCTGTTGGGCACATGCAGAGCAAACCTGCAGGTTAATCTGCTGCAGGGGAGGAAACTGGTGCTTGGGCTGGTAAGTCAGACCCCTCCTGGAGAGCATGGCATTGTCCCAGTGCAGCTCTCGGTTTTCCTTCAGGTGCATCTTGTGCTGGTTGGTTGCACTGAAACAGGATGTGCATGGCAAAGAGTGGATTTGGAGAACCCTCTGTGTTCCCTGTGGACATGGTGCATAAGAGCTGTATATGAAAAGGCAGGGAAGAAGCAGGGAGAACAGTGGGTGTACAGGGAGAGAAAACCCTGTCACAACTGAGCACTTCCATTTAATCTTCTAGTGTGAAAACCTTGGAGAAGAAAGGGCAGGAAGGATGAGGTAGTGTCAAATAGTTGTTTTCACTCTCTGTTAATTAGCCCTACACTAATTGTGCATTGTAAAACCTCTTGTGTTGTCATTGTTTTGCAGTTACTGTTCAGTTCAGTAACCACTGGGGTGGTTCCTCCTGGGTAGCCAGGGTTGAGCAAGTAAGTGTGTTCTGCAGCTCTGATTTTGTTTCTTCCTAAGCAGCTGGAGGAGCTCAACGGGGCCACACAACCAAAGCTGCTTGTCTTGAGGAGGCTTTCCCTGCTGTCACCACCCTTCGTGCTGGAGCTCACAGCCCCCATCAGCTTGCAGAACCGTAGGTGCAAGGTAACCTCTTTCTTTGGAGCCCTGCAGGTTGTGGAGCATCTGTGGGTGCATCTGAGTTTGGGGAGGGTGGTTGGGAGTGATGGTCTCTTTACCCAGGGCACCCCCAGGATGCGCTCCTGATGGTCTCTTTCCAGTGATGGATTCATGGTCTCTTTCCAATGATGGATTGATGGTCTCTTTCCAGTTCACCCATGGGAAAAGTGTGTGGAACCGTGTCCGAACTGAGATCCCCTTTGATCTTTACTCTCTCCTTTGGTTGTTGTGGTGCAGCCAAGATAAAGTGTTTGTTCAATCCTGGAGCACTATGGAAAAGGTTTCCCTGCTTGGATCTGCACTCCTGCCACCTTCTCCCATCCCTTCCTGGGGTATAGAGAAAGCCACCTGGCAGTTACCTCTGCTGACTGGACTTTGTTCAGGTTCCTGATGTGGGCTCTCCTACCTTTAAAACCACAACTCACAGACCTTGCATAAGTTGCTTTCCCAATGTGATCATTTGATCCGAGTGGTGAGATTACTCTCTACATGCGATTGTTGAGGGTGAGTCACGAGCCCTGCAGTGTCAGGCACACCTCTGCCAAGATTGGGGCTTTGTAGTCTGAAATTTCATCTATCAGGACAAATAATTACAGGCTGCTCCTTTCCCCAAGTAAGCATTCAAGTCAGCTGTGGCTGCAGATTGCTTATGGAATCCAGAAGGATTGAAAGAGGAGCACTTGTATGCTTTGCTCCAGTGGCTTCTCCTGGATCACAAGTCCAAAGAGTGGCTGAGTTTGACCTGTGGTGGCAGATTGCCGTAGTATTCTTGTTTAGCCATCAGCCATGTCTGCACCTCATTCCTCTGCAAGGAACAGAGTTATTGACCGATTTTTCCTTTCCTTTCTTGCTGTATGGGGTAGGAGGTGGAGGGGTTCAGAGTTGAAGATGAGGTTGGATTTTTCTCCTTGGCAGATCTGGCCCTGCACTATGTGCAGGCCTTCTGGAAAGGTTTAGTAACCAGCTGAGGGAATTGGTATCTCTCTTTGTGGTAGGGGGCAGGTAATGCTGGATCTTGCTGCGTGGTTGCTTGTGAAACGCATCCATTGACTTGCTTTTGTGGGTCATTGCTAGCATCTCTTCATTTCAGCCAACTCCAAGCTGTGGAAGAGCGAGCTGATAAAGTGCCTGCAAGGATTGTGCAAGCCCTGCTTTTGTAACAGGGCTGTGTGCATAGCTGCTGGAGGTAAGAGGAGCAGAGTGCCTTACAAAGGGAAAGGAAAAGCCTGTGTTGAGTATTGCCTGCCTAGGTTGACCGTACTGGGAGTATGGAGTTGAAGAGCTGTGGCTTTTGCAACTCGAGGTCAGCCTTTCAACCTCTGACCTTGCTTATTTCCTGCTTGACTTCCCTGTTGTCCTGTGGGTGTCCCTTTCTGGCACGGGAGCATCCACTTTGGGTACAGGGCTGATGTTCTGGTGCTCGTGACTGAGTGTGATTGCAGGGGGCTGGGGAGTTGTATGTCACAAATGGTCAAGAAGGTGAAAGGTAGCTCAGGTTGCCTTACCCATAGCAGGCAGGGAGGTTCATAGGTGACTGCACTCTCTTCTAATAGGGTGGGCCAGATGTGGAGCCTGGGTCTGGGACCAAGAGGTCAACTCTCTTACTGAGTTACTACACAATCCTTACATCTCACAGTAACACCTTCTTCCTGCACAGCACCATAGGATACAAGCATGTGATGTCTGAGGAGCTCCTGCATCCTCAGTGGAAAGCTATCTTACAGACACAAAGTGTCCCAGTTTTATACAAACAGTGCTTGGTTTTCTCTAAGTAAATCCCCAAAGCATGCTGTTCTATTTGGAGATCTTTACAGTTAAATACCTTTGCATCTGTATTTAACCATGTGCCTCAGATGCTCTTCCAGGTCTTAGTTTCAAAGAAAACATCCCAAATGAGAGCAGTGTTAGGGGGTTTTGCTGCCCAAACTCCTCCTGGTGGAAGAGGTCGAAGTCTATGGCTACCAACCCTGAGCTGTCCCCTCCCTGTAGTGGCTGCACGCGAAGTCACAGCTTGTCACACAAACCCTCAACACATGCATGGCCTTCTGAGTGGTTGGTTTGAGTATTGCCCATGGTAGTTGGCAACAGAGTGGTCTATAAGTCCTGCAGCGTTATCCCAGCTCCTGGATATTGGTGGTGTTGAGACCCCTGTTCCTCTTTCAAGCGATACCTGAAGCATGGAGCTCTTTGTCCCTCCCTGGGACTAGAGGCTGGGAACAGCATTAGTTAGCAGGAGGTTCACTTTACCTGCTCTTCTCAGGTGTTGGTGGTTGTGTAACCCTGAACACTTGTTTTTCAGTGCTGGCTCATGTTGATCTGTGTGAAGAAAGGTGTTCAGATGCCTAAGCTGATGGGATGACCCACCTCCTTGTTTGAAGGTAGAAAGACAGGCTTTTATCTGGTGAAACGAAGTGTGCAAATTCAGTAATTCTAGGTTGCTTTCTTTTAAGGCAGCTTGGTGAGTTTGAATTCATTTTTGTGATGGATAATGCCTTAAGTCCTTTGCTTGAGTGTACTGGGCTCTCTGCAATAGCCCCCCTTTGACATACCCATAGAGCTGCTTTCTGCCTCAGTAAGATATTTCCTTGTTGTTCTCTTCCTTGCTTTTCCAGCTGCTCTGCTGTCCTTGAATCGGACCTACTGGCCAGAAACAAGTCCACGTGTGACGGTGGAAGCTCAAATATGCAATATTTCAAGCTCCAGACTGACTGATGCACGCTCTGCATCTGTCTCCTGCCTAAAATAGACAGTGTGCTGCTGTCTGAGCTGGTGTGTCAAGGTCTGGTTAGGAGAGACCTTGCACAGCAAGAGGGGTTTGTTCTGTTTCACAGCCCCACTGCCCCCAGCTTTTATGTTTCTTACCCTTGTGCTCAAGGTGCTGCTCTGTTTAGACTGGGGGTTCTGAGTTGGTGGAAGCATGGGGTGGAAAGGCACTTTCCCACTGTTGTGTGAGAGAGGCTCTGCTGGTTTCCACCCTTAATTGAGCTGGTTAATGGGAACTTGTGGGATGTGCTGTTAAAGAAAGTGATGGGGAAGTGCGAGGTGTAGTGATCCTTCATCTCTAGTGAAAGCCGAGCCTTGGTGTTGTAGCACTGGTGGAAGTGAGCCCTGGGTCACTGCTTGTTATCACTGTGATGAGGAAAGCGTGCTGTGTGCCATGGCCACCCTGGTTCACAGTGGTTGAACTGAGGCTGATGGGCTGAAGAAGCCCTGAGGTCTCCTTCCATGTCTGCTCTCCCCAGCACAGCCCCTCAGGGGTGAGCCCACCCAAAGCAGGGAGCCTGCATGGACCACACTGAGCACAGCCAGATCTTACTGATGGAGAGTGTGATCTCTCTGCAGAGAAAAGGCTAGTGCAGGGGCTGTTGGAGGCAATGTTAAACAACCTGGATCTGAGCGCCTGCTTCAGTAGTCTGCTTTGGTTTGGAAAGGGCCACTTTTCTTGCCAGGTCTTCTTTTACTAAAAAGGAAGAGAAAAAAGAGGTAATTTGAGACTTGCCAAGGCTTGGCACGAATTGATATAAACAGAATTTTTTATTCCAATCAGTTGCATTCATACTCAAAGAGGAATAAGAGAAGATCTGGTTTTGCTACAAGGATCTCCTGGCTTAATACCACACAGGAAAGTCATCACTGCAGTGGATTAGGAAGAGATGGGGCCCAGGAACCAGGGCAGAAATGCCATCTCCACCATCTCTTTGCTGCTGCTGCCTCTCCCCCTTCCTCATGGTCTTGTGGGGCTCCTCTTCCTGACACGTGTCAATAACCTGCCTGCCTTGCATCTTTGGTGGGTTAAAGAAGACAACCCTGTGCTGATCACAAGACTGAATTCCTCTTTGTAACCAGGGCTCTTCCTTTTCCTGTGCTGCCACTGCTGTGCAGAACGCTGGGGGCTCACTGCACGGCAGGGGGGTTGGAACTGGATGATCTTAAGGTCCTTTCCAACCCTAACTATTCTATGATTCTATGGTGCTGCTGTCTGTGTGAGCTGTCCACAAGCATTGGAGGTGCTGTGAACAGGAGTAGAGACCTGTGAGAGGGCTCAGGAGTGGTTTTCTTTTACCTCCCAGGTGTTTTAGTTCATTTTTATTTACAGTCTTCTCATTTTGCCATGGTTTCTAAAGCTCGGGCTGCAGGTCAGTGCTGTACAAAGAGAAGGAGTTCCTGTTTGCATTGTCTGCTTGTCTCCCCTCTGTCCTGAAGCTGTTTTAAGGGCTGTGCTGTGATGCCATTGAAAAGAACTGACTGCTGGTTTAAAACTGGGCTTTTCTAAGGCTTCTTCTCATGCCCCTGATCTGTGTTGGGCCATGGTCCTGTGCAAGAGCTGTCAGCACAAGAGGAGGGCTGATCCCTGGGGCAGACAAGGCACGTGGTGGGAAGAGAGGTCTGGTTATGTCACCCATGTACACCTAGGGAATTCAGGTTGGTCCTTCTCAATCCAAAAGGTGTCTGTGGCAGATCTCATGGTAATGCTGACATCCCCAACCACACAGAGCTCCCAGTGCCCGAAACTGTAGCAGTGATGCTCCTGCTTTGCTTGCTAATGCTGTGCATGTGCTGAGTCAGTGCCATGAGGGTCATAGTCACGTGGCTGTGGAGAGCAAGAAGAGTGCCCTGCCAAGTCAGCTCTGCCAGCAGTGCCCCTTTGTCTCTTCCCTGGTGCCTTGTGCAGGATACTGCTGGAAGTCTGCACTGGAGAAAGCCTGTCTGAAAGAGCCACTGGCTTTTGGAGGGTGTGTTGCTGTTGGATGTGGTGGTGATGTGCATGGATTCCCATTTACAAGGAACTGGAAAGAGGTCCTTTGGTGTGTGTTGCTGCTGGGTGGGTGGTGAGGGGCTGGGTGCTCTGTGCAGTGTGATGGTGTTGCTGCGAGAGCCAAAGGGAGCTCATTGCTGCAGGCATGGTTTGACTTCACACTGCCTATGTGGTGTCCCTGTAAGTGTTCAGCTGGGACAGGCTGGACCTTGCTGTGGGCTGGGGACAGTTTGGCTGCCAGTGCCCTGCTCAGCTCCCTCTGAGTGGTGCCTGGCAGCAGTGTGAGTGCTGGGCAGAGGGTGACTGATGGCACTGTGTGGGTTTGTGATCAGTTCATCACGGATATTTCCCTGCACATACTGCAAGATAGAGCTTGTGCCTGCAGCTCCTGTGTTTATCTGCAGGTGTCCAAAGGGCGCTGATGCCGCCTGGTTCCTGTTGGGAAAACTCTGGCTGTTTGGATAAGCTCAGGAGCAGAGGACATGGGGGTGCAGCCTCCGTGCTGCCCTGTGCCAGGGCAGGCAGCGTCCATAGGGCACAGTGGGACTCAGGCCTATCTCTGCATGTGTGGGTTCCTCTCAGTTCAACACTGGAGCTTCTTGGTGCTACCGGCTGTGATCAGCTGGAGCTCAGGGATCAGTTAGCAGCCCTGGCTCTGCTTGGTCAGCAGTCTTCCTTCTCCTTTCCTCTCACGAGAGCAGGGTTATGGTGGCACAGGGCAGAGGAGAGTCAAGTGCAGAGCTTGGTCACTGGGTTTTGGAGCAAGAGTCACAGCCCTGGTCTGGAACTGGGAAGTGAAATTGTCCTGAGATGCTTGAAACTCATCACAGACGTGACATAAAGAAGCTACTTCAAGCTCACAAAGTCCCAACTTCATGCCCAGCTTAGCTTCAGAGCCAAGGCTGTTTGGTCAGTACAGTGTGACTGGCAGAGAGGGAGCCCTCCCTGATGCCGTGCTCCAGCATGCTTTTGGGCATATCTGCTGCCCTGTCTCCTGATGCTGCTGTCAGCTGTGTGTGAGAGAGGGGGAAGAATAGATCTCTTCATGTTGCTGACCACTTGGCTGTTGAGGCACTCCTCCTCCTTTCTTGTTTGTTGTAATACTGTATTTCTATTGTAATGTTTTTAACCCTGAGACCTGATAGCACCTATAGGCTATACCCTTTAGGATATAGCTATGGAATTGATGGGGGATTTGAGGATACCTGGCCCCGACAGTGCTTCCAGCCCTTCAGAGATGGGCATGGGAGTTAGAAATACATGTTTTTAGTATGCGAAGGGAGTGCATGTGTTTGGTAGCATGGAGGTGTGCAGAGAGCATCCCTGTGATTTGAGTGATTGTGAACTGCTGTGTATCGAGCAAATTCACATGAATAAAGGTGCATTCAGAGGGTGAAAAGCTGTGCTAAAATAGAGCGTGGCTTCATTGTCATCTTTCAAAGTGTTGTGACAGGGGATGATGGGTTCAAACTGAAACAGGGCAAGTTCAGGCTGGATATAAGGAAGAAACTCTTTACTGTGAGGATGGTGAGGCACTGGCACAGGGTGCCCAAAGAAGTGGTAAATGCTCCATCCCTGGCAATGTTCAAGACCAGCTTGGGCAGAGCCTTGAGTGACATGGTCTAGGGTGAGGCATCCCTGCCCATAGCAGGGAACTGGATGATCTTAAAGTCCTTTCCAACCCAAACCATTCTGTGTTTATGTGACTTTTCTGTGTGACATAGAAGCCTCATACCTCATCTGAGACTGATGGCTTTACACCAGGTACTGTGTGCATCAGCAAGGATCTAAGAACTGGAGCCGTGACTTAAAAAGGAAATGGAAACTTGTCTTGCCTTGATTAAAGATAGAATAAACATTAGGGATAAAATAACTACCCTTAAAAGTGATGTCAGGGGAACTTCTGCATCATACATTTGTTTCTTTTCTCCTTTAAAAAGCTCTCTCATTGTGTGGGGGGCTGCAGGAGTTCCAGGATAGCTGTACTCCCAGAAAGAGTCAGGATTCTTTTCACTGGAATCTAGAAAAGGACATGTATTTGAACTGCAGTGAACTTCAGGCAAATAATTGCTACAGCCAACTAGATAAGGTGAGATAAATTGAGGAATAACCTTCCTATGCTGGGGGAAGCGAGTTAAATAGTCCCTCAGTTATGGCAACCCTTTACAAGAGGAGAGGTGAGGTCTCATTCCATATCCTTTGCCTTTCTCCTGCTGTGTCTGAGCAAACACCTTCCTACCTCTGTAGCTTGGGTATAGGCCTTGAATAACTAAATGTCCATGACCAGATGGAGCCCATTGTCAAAACTAAAGCAGTTCTTGTGTCACTGTGTTTAGAGGTTTGTGTATGACCTGTGTGTTATGGAGAAGGCAAGACTCTGGTCCATACACCAGTCCCATAGGCCTGCAGACACAGTGCTCTTCCCTCTGGCTGGAGGGAGCGAGCCACGGGTGGTCTGGCAGCTGTAGGCTTCCCCTTTGAAGTGCTGGAGAGCTGCACCGTGGTGAAGGCCAGGAGACGGTGCAGCTTTCTCCCCTGTGTGTCCACACTGCGTTCCTGGGAGCTGCCTTCCCAAGGCTGCCCCTTCCCAAGGCATCACAGCTTGGGAGGGCAGACCACCTTGTAAAGCAAACCCCCCTCCTGGCTGCTGCTTGTCCCCAGGAGCTCTGCTGCTTTGAGCAGAGCAATGCCCTTCTGATGGGAGATGTAGCCCTTGCCTTGCTCGTGAGCCCATGAACTCCTTCTCTCACCCTGTATAAGGGAATTGCTGTGGGGCCAGGCGTATGCAGCCTGTACCCGTTCCACCCCAGTCTGGCTCACTAAAGATGTGTCTAGCGTGAAACTCTCCTCCATGTGCAGTTTGCTACAAGGGATGCTGTTGTGCTCTGTGCAAGGAGCCTTTCCTAGGGCTCGGCTGCTGCCAGTGCTGGATTTGGTGCTTGGAAGGGAAGGGATGCAGCTCCTGCCCAAAACCAGCTTAGGGTGGGCTCTGTCAGCCTTGGTATTTTTTCCTATGGCTTTGGGCAAAGGTTTGGTGTAAGAGAAGAGCTTTCAGTTAAAACTTCTGGAGTCTTGCTTGTTGTAATACTGCAATAGGGAATGAAGGCAATAAACCAGCAACACATTTCCCCCCACTGGTGCACTCCTTTGGTGTCAGTTGCTGGACCAGCTCCTTAATGATTTACTGGAACTGAAGAAGGAGGAGGAGAGAGACCCTGCTGGGAGCTGTGCTTTGTTGGCAACGAAGCTCCAGTTGTGGAGGCTTTAACTAACAGTTTAGTCTACAGCTGTACAGAAAGAACACCCAGCTCTTGCTTGGCTCAGAGATGCAGCGTTGGAAAGCGAGGAGGGAGGACAGGGTGACCTGATGGAGAGGAACGGGCAATTTGCTCAGCTACAGTTGCATCACTCCCATTTTTCTTTTAACCCCCCTGCTTCATGTCATCCCTGGGAAGCAAATGGGAAGCTTTGCAGTAGGGTTTTGGTGCCCTTTGTAGTAGTCACTTGCCAAGATACCCACAAAATTAAACCTCATGTTAAGAACTAAACGATGTTAAGAACTACCTGAGTTGCAGAAGTACCCAGCAGCCCACCCATGATCACTGTAGGTGGCTGTGGGCTTCTCCCTATGCTCCTTAGGGCTGCCTTCTGTAGCTGCTGGCCTGTGGCAGAGTGCTTTATGTTCTCTAGGGCTGGACTTTGGGGGGGTAACAACTTCTTTGCTGAAGATCTTACCTGCTCTCCCGCATTAGCACTCCCTAAGCATCACCTTCCCTTTTCTTCCCTTAGCATCACTTCAGCCAGGTTTATTCCTCAGCACAGGCACAACCTGGAGTTTGCTGCTTCTCTTTGACATCCCCCCCCCCCCCCCCCCCCCCCCGAAGGCTGTCTGGGAGCTTTAATGCAGCAGGCCCAGCTTTGCTGAAGAGGTTAACTCTACCCTCAGCCATGGGACGTGTCCCTTCTCTCTGGTGACAGAGTCACGCTGAGCTCTGAGTCACTTCTCTGTGTGTAAGTTCAAATGTCCATGGTCTTCTGGGCTGGCGGGGTGCCCAAGTACAAGAAGAGAGTCACTTTGCCCTTACAAATCAAGTTTGGAGTTGATTATCTGTTTGCTTGGCCGCGGTGCGTCCTTGTGCGTTGGGAAGATAATCTTCCCATCTGGATGAGGGTCAGGGGAGTTCAGAGCTTTGGCAGAGCAGTGGGAGGGAGGGAATGATGGGTGGCTCCTGGGGGAAGGTCAGGGGCCATCGGCCTAGTGAAGAACTTGAGGACTGGGCGCTCAGCTTTGTGCTACCACGGACTGGGGATGGCCACAAGTCACTTTATCTCTGCCTTGGCAAGTAGAAAGGAGTAATTCAAGGAGGTGTAAGTTAAACTGGGGAAGAGAGTGGAGGGGACTGGGAAGCCAGAGGCCCCAAAAGAGGTGGATAATAAATCCAGTCTGCATGTGGAGGTGGGTAGTAAATCAGAGCTATTCATCACTTGTGTTGTAACAAGGGTTTGCTCACAGAAGTACCATGCCATGGTCCTGCTTTGCAGTTCATAAGCACAGCAGTAAGTCCAGGGCATTGTTTCAGCCTGTGAAAAAGGAGGAAGCCCCAGATGTGTGGGGTGACTTGAAGAGTGGGGTCTTTCCCCACTCACACCCCATGGGCTCTGTGGTGAGTAACGGGTTAGTAAAGGCTGTCTGTTGAGTCCCTCCTGAGTTTTGCTGGTGCATTAGTGGGGGCCAGGTTGGAGTCCCTGGCTGAAATGTGGGGCTGCTGGCCCAGGGAGGGCAGAAGTCACTTCTGACGGGTCAGCATGGATGCACTGGGAAGGAAAAAGCTTGGTGGGACAGGGAAATACCTTGGGATGCAAAATGATCTCACAGTATTGTGGTGGAAGGCCTTGCTCCCAAGAGCTGTTGGGCTGCATTACACTCCTAGGACTGAATGTATAGTGAGAAAGCATGCTCTGAATGACCCTTCATGCTCTCGTGATCTGTGGCACTGTGTCACTGCTGGTGTTCATTTGGTTTTCCTTGCTTACAGTGCCTTGACCATCATGGGGGATGCCAGCATGGGACCTAACATCTCCCCTCCGGACAGCACTGCGCAGCAGGACTCTCTCTTCAGCATGACAGACGTGTTCCTCATCTCCCTCATCACCGGGCTGCTTACCTACTGGCTGCTCTTCCGCAAGAAAAAGGAGGAAGTGCCAGACCTCCCCAAGATGCAGACAGTGTAAGTAATGATCGTTGGGCAGCATGGGGTGAGCATGGGGCTGTCATCGTGGTGAGGCCTTGGAGGCTCTACAGATGGATTATAGAGGTGCCCCAGTGAGGGGACTTGGTGTCAAAGTGGGTTTCCCTCCCCTCGCGTTCTTGCTGAGCTGTATTTTCACCTCTCAATGCAGAAATCCCTGTGGAGGAGCAGGAGTTCTGCCTTAAGGTAAGGAGTTCTGCCTTACCCCACCGTGTGGTCCACAGCAGTAATGTGCCTTTCCCAAGCAAGGCAAGGCAGGAGAGCCTCTGGCTGTATTTCAGACCCTGAAGGATTTGCTTTGGCTGTTCTGTGTCTCCTGATAAAAGTCATATTTAAATAAATCTGGAGGAAGGTGGACTTGCTCTTATGCAAGTTTCCTATGAGGAATCTTATCTACTCTTAGCTATGAAGAGAAGAAATAGTTCCTGAGCATGAGCTGCTTGGCAGCTCCTGTGGAACTTGCTCAGCTCAGATGCCAGGTTAGTGCAACAGCAGGAGACTGGATTTGGAGAGAGAGAAGTCCTCTTCCACCCCATCTTCTGCAAAGGGCTTAGGGTCAGGAGCGAGCCATGTTGGTGGAGATCTGGATGCTTTTGGTTCCTTGTCTCTGTAACATACACAACTTAACACCAGTTTTCTGCTGGACTTTTTAGCTCATTCCTTCTGTTTCCTCCTGGAGCATTGATAAGAGCACTACAAGGTTTGAAACTCGCTGTAGGAGCTGGTGTTGTGCAATACCTTTCCATTCAGTCTCATGGGATCTGCTTCCTGTGTGCATGCAGTTTGCCCCAGGGAAAAGCCAGCCTCAGCCCAGCTCTGTGCTTTCCAGCATTTGGCCTTCACAGAAGGTAACCGCACAGCAAAGGTCAAGCCTCTGGGTTTGTAATGCAAGGCTACTCACATGAGGATGTTGGGTGATAAGCCAAGGCTCGTTTCAGGAGGGGATTGATGCTCCTGTTACCATGTGTGTAGGAGATAACAGACCACAACTGCTTGCTATGTTTATCTCAGACCTCAGTGGGTTACGCTGCTTTCAGATTACATGGCTCATCACCCAGTGCTTGTGTTGTAATTCAGGTCAGAACTGGAAAGGAGCAGGTTTGGCCTCATTGTTTCTGCTCTGACCTGCTGTGGTGGCAGAGCCTTCTGCTTGAAGGCAAGCCAGGGATGCCAGGTCTGTTGTGAAGTCCCTGGGTAACAGGAGGGGTAAGACAACTAACTCCCAGGCGGGCTGCACACTGGTGTCACAGGAGGATGGAAAGTACCTGTTCTGGCTTAGGAAGGTTTGAACAGGAAGCAGTGTCCCTGGCTGTGTGAACTTGTGCTGGTGGGTGCACACGAGGCTGGTATTCTGTGTCTGCTCAGCCTTACCTTGGGAGTTTGTTGTGTTGGATCAGTCAGATACCTTCCCTCTTGAGCCTGCAGGAGAGGGCTGTGTGTATCTGTGTGTGCGGTTGCCTCTGGAGCTTGTAATGGGGATGCTTGTGCTGTGCTGAGCTCAGAAGTGGCTCTATCCATCTGAAATTAGATCCTGACATGGCACAGGGACTTGGAGAGCTCCTGTACTCCCCGTCCTCGGGACTGTTTCCACCCAGCACCCATCACATGCAGCAATTCCAGAGGCTGCTGTGACCTTGCAGAGAAGTTGGGCTGCAGAGAAGCTTTCTGACTCCTTCCTGCGTGTATGTTACCACCTTGTCCTGCTGCAGGACCTCTTCTCATGGGCTTCCATCTGAGACTGGCTGGAGGTCTTGGCTTTGAGCTGACTCTCAGGCATTTTCCCTTTGTTTCCTCCTTGAGGTCCGTGCTGCCTTCTCCATCTGCATGGAAGATGCACTGTGTAACTGCTCCTTGCAGGAGCACCTCAGCTGTGGTCAGCACCTCTGTCCAAGTGGAGCTGCTGTGGTCATTGCAGCAAGCTTGGTCTAAGGGCAGCGTGGACCCATAAGGCAAGGCTGTGTCTGGTGGTACATCCATCCTCTGGGGCAGAGACGGCTACTTCCTCAGCTCTTGCAGTGTTATTTTATGGGATGCTTGGAACCAGGAGGGAAATAAGTAGGGAAAACAAGCTTGTTCAGCCTGGGGTTTCCTTCCCTCCTGTCATCCTTGAGGCTGGGGTGGAGTTTCATTTCTGATGAACAAGCAAATAGGCAAGATACAGGATAGTACTGTGGATATAGCAGGCTGGTCCATGGGCAGGCAGGGAAACAGCTCCAGACCCATGATGACAAAGAGCCCTCGGTGGGGCTTTCTCCAGCTGGAGAACCTTAACCTAAAGAAGTGCTGCTTTCCTTCAGCACATTCTCTGCCGCCCTGCCTTCACTCCAAACTATTCCAGACCTTATCTGATGGTGCTGGGTGATGGTTTCTGTTGTGTCTCTTTGGCCTTCAGCTTCAGCCCTGGAAGGCTGCAGGACAGAAGTGCTGAACAGCAACTCAGGCACATCCCCATGGCTGCTGCTTTGATGGGTTTGCTTGCAGCGTGGGGGAGTGCAAGCAGAGCCTCTGACCTGAGCACTCAGTGCTCTCCTGGGGTTTTGGGAGCTGCTGCTGAGCAGCATGCCTTGATCAAGCCACATTATCTCAGCAGGGTCTGTGAAGGAAATGGTGCTGCTGCTGCAGCTGCCCTTGATTGGAGAAGAATAGATGCATGCTCACAATACCCTGTTCTGTATGGCACCTGGGCTGGATTGGCTCTGCATGGCTACGTCAGCCTGCACGGCCCAGGAACAGTCATGACCTTGCCCTGACAAAGCCTCTCTGGGTTAAGCCAGAGCTCAGGTGCTTGCTGATCCTTCACTCTTACATCTAAAGCTGGTTTCCTGCCCAGTTACCCAGGGAAGGGGCAGAGTCCATCCCATGCAGAGGTTTCCTGTGTACGAGATGTCCTGTACCTGTGTTGTGTAATACATGTGTGTGTGGGCAGGCAGGGATGCTGCTAACTGAGAGCTGCTTGTGTTGTGACCATTTTCAGGCTTAATTGAAACCACTGGAGCAGCCTCCCTGCAGCCTGCTCTGCAGATGTCATTAGGGCAAGCAGCTCTCGATGGCCACCACATTCCTCACAGAGGCATTGCTGGGGAGTTCTGCTTTATTCTTTGCCTCCTCTGTGTGTTTCTCAATCACAGATTCCTTTCCTTTCTCATGTGCCCACCCTAGAGTTGTGCAGATTGGGGAGACACAGGCCATTGGTATGCTGGGTGTCACCCCTTCCCTTCTCCCCCCATCCTTAACGTTGTTCGGGGCAGAAATTGGCTTATCTCTATTCCACAGCTATAGAGCAATCCATTCGCTGGTGCTTGTAGGGCTTCCTGTGGCAGGAATTGCTCCAGCTCCTCAGCCTGATTAGCTCTCTTCACTGCCTGCGTGTGGGTTAGAGACAGACCATCTCTAATTTAATTTAATGGGATCCTGAAGAGAAGGAGCTCCTTTGAGCTGCCTCCGCAATGGCACTGCCATAGTTACCCGTGGCGTTGCTCACGCAGCGTCTGGAATCACTTCATTCAGCCACAGCATTGCTTTGCCTTTCTTTTAAAACCAGAATATATCTAAAAGCAGCTGTGATATAAACAGTTCCCAAGGGAACGGGGCAGGGGGAAGGGTTTTGTGTCCCGTCCCCCTGCTCCATGCGGATGGGAGAGGGACGTGCGCTGCGGAGCATCCTGGGAGCTTTCATTCTCCACTCCTAATTCCTTTCTGCCACTGCTGCCAGATGTTGGAGTTTCTCAGGGCTGTGTGGATCCACTCGGTTACTTCCAGAGCCCCACCACGAGGAGCTGAGCGCACAGGACCACTCCTGCTATGACCCGTGCTGGGACCTTTTGTGCCGGCTCTCTTCTCCTTAACAAAAGGCTGACACTTGGCTTTAAAGCCCAGGAGGAGCAGCATGGGAAGGCCTGTGCGTGTGTTGCTCCAGAGCTAAGTTAGATCCGTCCCCCACACCTCCCGTTGCAGACAGACACGGCTGCCCTGCGACTCTTTGTCTGCCTCTTCCCTGCCCTGACCATGGGCTGTGTGTACTCGGCCCCACGAGAAGAGGCTGCTGTGGAGAGGTGAGTTACTGCCCGATGGGAACATTCCAGCTCAGAGGGTGGCTCTTCCCATCCCAGAGCTGGGAGGAATGGGGTGCCTCTCCCTCCTGGGGCAAGAGGAGAAGGAAGGGGAGAGGCTGTGCTGGACCCTGCTGTTGGTGCTTGCTTTCTGTGTGATGGCCAGGCTGTGTTCTCACTTCTGGATGTATGTGTGCTTCCAGGAGGACAGGCACGGGCATGGGAGCTCTCTGAAGGAGAGGTGCTCAGCTGAGGCAGACTTTGATATTGTTGCTAAGCTGTTGGGAACTTCCCTCCTTTCTTTCTGCTGAAATCAGAGTGACAGACAGCCCTGTGCTGGGCCATCTGTACAATGCAATGGAGTTAATCCCCTTTCCTCCACCCCTCACTTCTGACTCTCTTAGTCACTACCCTGAGCTACCTAAGCTGTAACAGCAGTCGCTGTTGAAAACACACATCAAAGTTTTCTTGTCTGTTGTTCGTGTCTTTGGCATCTGTGTGGTTTTGCAGCTCAGAGTTTCAAGCTACTCTGATGAAGCAGTTCCAGGGAGTTGTGTAGCCCTTTATAAAAGCCAGACTCATTATTTCGGCTGTGTCTGAGCCGCAGACTGTTCCACACCACAACACTTCAGTGCGGGGTTGCTCCTTTGAAAAGGGACCAGCTCTGTGTGCTGCACCCTTTTCGCTTCCAAAGGGAGCTGCTGAAAGGATTTAAAACACTTTCTTTCCCTCCTTTAAAAGCAGTTTGTTTAGCAGTTGACCCAGCAGTGGGTTTAATTGGGTCCTGTTTGCAGAGGGCAGTGAACCAAAGATGCTCCCTGGGGAGCCAAAAGCAAAGAGAGAGCTGAGTCTTGTGAGCGTGCTGGGGGGCAGCTCTGCCAAGCCCCCATCCTGGTGGCAGCATTGACAGTGTCGGGGCTGCTCTCAAGATGCTTGTGATCTCCCTGTTCCCAAGAGGGGACAAATGACAGCGTGGGGAGACTGGTAACTTCAGAGAGGGCAGACTGGAGGGTGCAAAGCAGCACTCTCCTGTGAGCACATCTGCCTTGGGTGGCCTTTTTGGGTAGGGTCTGCTCATCTTCAGTGTGTGCTGTATGAGGCTGTAGGTGCTTGGAGCTGTCAGGTTATGGAGCTCCTGGATCCGTTTGGGTGAAAAGGGGGTGCTTGAAGGTGTGGTTTGCAGTATCCCCCCCCTGCTGCTCTCTGTATGTGCCCTGCAAACATCTCTGTGCATCCACAGAGCTCCCTCTCTCTGTACTGCAGTTCAGGAAGCTGTTGGTGAGCTCTGCACATTCTCACGTGGGCCTGAGCCAAAACCCATTTGTTTTTTGCCTGGAGGCTTCTCTCTTCCCACAGGACACCCAGCCTTGCATTCCTGCATTGTGAAAGAGAAACGGGAGCTGGTCCCACGTTCCGCATCCCCACTACTGGAGCTTCAGTAGAGGGGAGAAGACAGCAAATGAGCTCCTGACACTTGTCCTCCTGCCTTGAAAAGACCCAGCACCTAATGTGACTGTAGCTAGAGCCACCTCTGCCTGTGACACTCTCTAGAGCTGGGCTGCTTTCACTCCAGGGCTCTAAAACCCATGGATGTGCTTAGGATAGGAAAGCTCTTCTGGCTCCCTACCTAATAGAGCAGCCATCGCGGTGTGAATCTCTGCCTTGATGTTACTGATGCTGCTATGGGTTATCCCTCTTCCAAGCTAGAGAAAGCTGCCTCCATGCAATAAAGCAAACACTTTGTGCTGGAGATCCATGCTGGAGATGGAAACCCCTGCGTGGGAGCCCTGCAGGACCTCATCGGGCAGCAGCTCCCTTGCTGAGGCTCTGTGGGTCTGATGAGCTATGTCCGTTGCTCTGCAGGGCTCTCCAGCTCTGGGACTTGTGTCTGGCCTGTGGTTTTGGGGTGGAAACAGCTGGATTTTAGCCCTGCCTGACTTCAAGCTTGGGGAATCTGCCCTGGGGGGCACGGCTCAGGACTGAGCTGCTGCAGTGAGGGAAGCAGGGAGCTCTCCATTCCCTTCTCTCCCACCATGGCTTGCCCCCTGAGGTTCATCTGGAGACCTGCTCATGCATCATAGCTCTGTGAGGTCCTTGTAACGTGCTCAGCTGTGAAACCGCTGATGGAGGAGAGGTTTCCTGACACCCAGGGCTGAGTGCCTGTGGATTTACTGATGGAGGTAGGACAGGGGGTCCGCTTTCCCCCCCTGAGACCCTGCTCCATGGTTGTGTATGAAGCAGCTGCCCAGCTGAGTGATGGACGTTCCTGGGTAAATAAGAGCAGATGATGGGGACTCCCACTGCTTTGGGCAGTTGTCCTGAGGTTTTGGGGCTACTTTTCGTCAATTGCTTGTTCCTGACCTTAAAGAATGAATATGTTCATCTCAAAGGATGTTCCTCCTGTCTTTCAGAGCAGCTCCGGTGAGAGACAGCAGCTTCATTGAGAAGATGAAGAAGACGGTAAGCTGCTTGCTCTGGCTCCATGGGGTACTGAGAAGGGAGCTCGTGTTCTTCCTTCCCCTATGTCTAGCTGTCACGGGGGGGACTGGTTTGGATGCAGACCCATGCATCCAAAACTGAACTGACATTTCGGTGCAAAAAGAGAGTAACACGAGATCAAAGTCAGGAGGGAAATGGCAGAGACTTTAAAGTCATTGCTTGGCTGTTGTTCATGTGCGTGCTTGGTTCCCAAACTGGCTCACTCTGGAATGGGAGTTGTTGTACACAGAACTGGCAGCTTTTGGCTGTGCTGGACTGGACACAAGAGGAGGCAGAGGAAGAAGCAAGGGCTGGATGTATTTCCTGTTTCACTTCAAAGCAGCTGGCTTGTGGCAGAGCAGGAGCTCCGGTGCTTAGGCGCTTTGCCAGAGCTTTGGGAGCCTTTCTCATCCAGGGAGTTCCCTGTTACAGGAGTCACGCTGCAGCCTTGAGGCTGAGGGTAGATCTTGAGGGTTTATTCTTTACTTTGGGTGCTCGTTTGATCCAGGTCACCTCTCTGAGGTTGACAAGAGTCATGTTCTTAATACCACTTGCAGCTGTGTGCCACAAACCCAGCGGGGAGTCCTGTGCAAGCGCAGGCTCCTGGTTGCCTTCAGGCTGCAGTGCAGGGCTCCTGGTTCCTAGGTGTTTCCTTTGCCTCTAAGATGTGCTCATCCATGCATTTGCTGAATGAATAATCACCATTTAACAGGGATTTCTCCTTCTCTCCAGGGGCGGAACATAGTGGTTTTCTATGGTTCCCAGACGGGTACAGCAGAGGAGTTTGCCAATCGTCTCTCCAAAGATGCTCATCGCTACGGCCTGCGGGGCATGGCAGCAGATCCAGAAGAGTATGACCTGGTAACTTAACCCTGAACAGCCTCAGGATAGGCAGCATCCTTTTAGTGAACCCCAAAAACCCAGCAGGAGGCTGACCAAGGGATAAGTTGCCCTTTTAGTGGTGTCATTTAGAGAAGAAAATCTCAGCCTGAGAGAGGGAGAGATGGGCTTGGTCCTTGCTATGGAATGCTGCAATATGACTGAAAGAGAAAGGTAACCTGGAGTGTCTGGGAGTTGAGTCATCCACTGGCAGCATGAAACTGGCTCTGTTCCTTCAGTGGTTAGCGTTGATCTGCTGCAGTCTTGGACAGAGGTATTGACAGTTTGGTGTCAATGAACAACAATCCTGGTCCCTTTAAGGGAAATCCCATCATTTGGAAAATCCCATCATTTTTTCTGGTGGAGTAGAAACATTGGCTTGCAGCCAGTGAGGGTGGTTACCTTTATTTCCCCTGCCCTTTTGGGTGGGTTTGGCCTTTCCCAACCCCATTTGTAATCAGCTGCTTGCCATTGCATGCTGCTGTTCTGCACACCAGAGCTGTATGGTAGGAGTAGGCTTGCCCAATAACCACACTGCAGGATCCTTGAGGGTTTATTATTTCCTTCGGCTGTAGTCGGACCTGAGTCGCCTCTCTGAGATCGACAAGTCCTTAGCTGTGTTCTGCATGGCCACATATGGGGAAGGAGACCCCACAGACAATGCCCAAGACTTCTATGACTGGCTGCAGGAGGCTGATGCTGACTTGTCCGGTCTCCGGTTTGCAGTAAGTGGCTCCATTCCAGTTTATGTTGTACTTGGGCAGCAAAGTCAGAAGCCTTCCACTGTGCCTGCACATGGCTTGTGAAGACATGGTGTGATGTCTGTGCCTGTGTCAGGTGCAGTCCCTGTTCATGGACACATGCAAACATCTATCTGGGGGCTTTAAATGCAGATACCAGAGAACTCTCTTCACTCCCTAAATCACAAGGGTTTGCTGGGAATGTCTTGCCACAAACAGGCAGCAGGCCTTGAATACAAGGTCTCTAAATGACTTAGAGGCTGCTGCTGCTGTTCAGGAGCTAATTGAGCAGCCCTGGGCCAGATCTTATCCCACAAATGGGATCACTTGGTGCAGTGTGGAGGGAGCTCTTTTCTCTGCTGAATAATTGGCTGAGACGCAGCCACCTCGCCTAAACCCCAGCCAAATTCCTTAGGCAGCACAATAACTGCAAGTGAGGAGAGAAGCCACTGCTGGAAGACGTTAAGCTGCTCTGTATAAAGCAGTGAGCAAACATTTGCTGAGCTGTTTGTGGGAGGCACGGGGCAGCAATGGGTGTCCAGACTGTTACTGGTCCCTTGAGGAGATGGTGCAGGCAGCTTTTATATGTGCAACCTCTTGACATGCCAGGGGTGCTGGTGCCTACTGATCGCTCTCCAGTGGTAGATTCTTCCTTAAGGCCCACAAAGAGCCAGTGGGGAGCTGGGAGAGGTCTTGCTGTCTGTCTTCAACATCCTTTGCTGGGTGATACTGGTCAGAGGATGCCAACACGGTGGGAGAAGTCAGTCCTCTGCTTCTCCATGCTCATCAGTGTTCCCTTCTAGGTCTTTGGGCTGGGGAACAAGACTTACGAGCACTTCAATGCCATGGGGAAGTATGTGGATAAGAGACTGGAAGAACTTGGAGCCCAGCGTATCTTTGAACTTGGGCTGGGTGATGATGATGGCAAGTGAGTAGCTTGGCTTGGAATGCCAAAGCATATTGGAAGGAACTTTGGCAGGGAGTTGGCTCTACTGCTGAGACAGCAATAAACTCCATAGGGCTAGCTATGGGAGCTGACATGCCTCTGAGTTCGTGTCTGTCTGCTCTCACCCACAATCAGATCCCTGTACACTCTGAGTATCCTAGGGGATCCTGTGTCTGGAAAATCCCACATCACCTTTAAATGACCATAGTTACATACCTGAAGAGGCTTTCCAGTCTGCTTTGCACTGCTGCAGCTCCATTGCTAACCCAGCCAGTATGGATAACCTTACTGTCCCTGTGGTGGAGGGAAACTGTTGGCTTAACGGTGGAAGGCAGCAATTTTCCACCTTGGACAATGCTTTTTCTCTGGGTGCACCCTGTGGGGAGCAGCGTAACCTGGGAAAATCACATCATCCTGTGGCTTTACCTCGAAGGGCAGCGAGATCTGATGGAGGGATGTGCTGTGTGCGGGAGGCTCAGCGTAGAACAATAAGCATTGCTATGGTGGAATCTGCCTCTGAGGAGGGTGACCTGATGGCAGGAGTGGGCAAAGGGGAGATGAGTTAAAGATGAACCTGGGTAGCAGAGCCTTCCTTGGTACAGTAGGTGAAGGGAGGGGTGCCTGGTATAGCAACAGTTCCCAAGGAACCTGAAGATGCTCTCCTGTGGGCATGGGGAGGAACCAAACTGCTTGGGTTCAGGGGCAAATGCCTTTTCCCATGGTGAAGGCAGGGAGTCCATAGGGATCTTGGTGAGCCACAGCTCATTGAATCTTTCTTTTGCCTTGGCTAGCCTGGAGGAAGACTTCATCACCTGGAGAGAGCAGTTCTGGCCAGCGGTGTGCGAGCACTTTGGGGTGGAGGCTACAGGAGAAGAGTCCAGGTGGGTATGGGAGCAGGCTCTTTTGGGTGCCAGAAAGATTGGCCACCTTTGACTGTGACTGTGCCACCAGCCCTGAGCTGCTCTTCCCTCTCCAGACTTGTGAAGTGCTGCTTCCAGCTGTACCTTGTGATTTCCAGCTTGACTTAGTCCTCTTTCCCCCTTCCTCCTCCAGCATCCGGCAGTACGAGCTGGTGGTGCACACGGATGTGAACATGAGCAAGGTCTACACTGGTGAGATGGGTCGTCTCAAGAGCTATGAGAACCAGAAGCCGTAAGTGCCAATCCACCCTGGATAGGATCAACCGATGGATCCTTGCTCTTCCCAGCAACACCCGCTCTGCAGGCAGGGTCATTCCTGCAGTGCAGCCATGGGGAGGTCTCTGCCCAAGAGAAATGGGCTCTGATCTCCACTGGGGCTCTCAGATTCCCCAGTTATGAACCATAAGTCGTGTGAAGATGGCTGCGTTCACATGTGCTGTTAGGGTGGTACAAATGACCTCCTGAGGTCACTCAGAGCCCTTCCTCACCTGGGGTAGCTAAAATACACCACGGGTTCCTGCCCTGTTGCTGTGGGGAGATGAGCTGTATAAATTAAGGCCAACCTGAAGTATTTCTTTGGGGTGTGACAGTCCCTGGGTAGCAGCAGGAGCATCATTTGTTTAGTGCTGTGGTGTGCTTTGAAACACAAACCAGGACAGCCCTGTACTCACGTGCAGGGAGCCTGCTCTGGGGGCAGAGGGAATGTGCCTGGATGCAGCCAGCACTGAGAGCCTGCAGGAGGGTAACACAGATGGTGCTTGTCTTCCCTTCCAGGCCGTTTGATGCCAAGAACCCCTTCCTGGCCCAGGTGACAGAAAACCGCAAGCTGAACGAGGGTGGAGAGCGGCACCTCATGCACCTGGAGCTGGACATCTCCAATTCCAAAATCAGGTAGCTTCCCATGGGAGACTGCACCTCTATGTTGGCAGGAGCAGTCTGCACCAAGAGCAAGGCACTGGCCTCATCCAGCACTTCAGGAGGGGACCTTGTTCTCATAATCCCTTAACACTGCCTCTCTGGGCTTCTGTACCACGTATCAGGTACCCCACATAAGGACTTGCTCCCAGCTCTTGCACTGCAGAGGTTTTGAGCTGCTTTGTTCCTTGCCTGTCATGGAATTGGGCTGTGCCTGCTGGAAGTCTGACCTGGTTGAAACCTGTAGCAAAAACTGCTGCTATCTTGGAGGCCCCTTGTGAAAACCCTGGTTCCTAAAACCGTTATTCCACAATGCTCCTTTCTGCTATTGCTGGTGGCTCATTGGGATCCCTGATTGTGCAGGCACTGTGTAGCAGCTCACATCTTGGTGTGGTCCTACTGCCTCTTGCAGCAGCCTGTTTGTCATCCAGCTGAGCAGGTTGGGGTGATGGGAAGCAGTTTCATCTGCTCTCCTCCTGCTCTCATGCCAGGTATGAATCCGGGGACCACGTGGCTGTGTACCCAGCCAACGACTCCTCTCTGGTCAATCAGATTGGTGAGATCCTGGGCACGAATCTGGACACGATCATGTCCCTGAACAACCTGGATGGTGAGTATGGATCACCCTGGATGTCTGCAGTTCTCCTCCTGCAGCTATGCCCTCTGTGCTTCCCACCAGAGCGGAGCCAGGTCACCTGCAGGTCCCATAGGGCAGGCAGAGAGAGATGTCCTGTTGCCACTCGGAATGCCATGGCATTTTAACAGTGGCACGGAGCCTGCTTGCTGCGAGCCAGCTGAAGTGGGTCAGTTGTGAAATGCACTTGTGTGCCATTCAGCAGCACATTATGCAACAGCACGCTCCTAATTACAGAGCATCAGCCCACCAGAGCATCCCTGTGCCGCAGCAGCCCCGGCACTCAACAGGGACCTTAATGTCTGAGATGCTGTTATTCAGCCCTTGGAGGAGGCGCAGCAGGGAGCACTTGTACTGATACAAAGAGCTCTTCTTGGGCAGTGCTTCCAGCAGAGCTGGCCTCTGGCAGGAGGGAGATAGCAGCTGCTACCCATCTTGCTCCTGAAGCAGCCTGACCTGAGGCATCGGATGTGGTCGCCCAGAAGCTTTAAGGGAGCTCCTGTCCCTTATGGACCTCTTAGTTTGTGGAACTGGATGGCTCCAGCCTTGTCTGCTGGTGCTTACCTTTCCCAAGGGGGCTCTGAGCACAACTGGCCATGGCCAAAGGAGACTGAGAACACTTTTGAGGCCAGATCTGAAGGAGGCATAAATGTGTGAGGCCAAGTTAGCTGTGGCGAACATCCACCCTGCTTGGTCTGGAGTTTATTGGGTGCTTCTGTGTATGGGTATCTCGGGGCAGAGAGCCCCACTTGGTGGAGCACAGGGTATACCGTTTTGCTGATAAGCTGCCTGGCAGCATCTGTGGAACACAAAATGGGCTACTGGGAGATGGAGCTGCTTTAATGTGGGATCAGGGCTGACTGAGCCCAGGGCTCCCTCAAGCCTGTTCCCCTGCTCTATCTCCACCTCTCATCTACTGCCTGTATCTGCCGGCACGAAACCAGACATAACAGCGTGTGGTTGCTGACTTCCAGTTTCTTTTTCCTCTCCCTCCTCTCCAGAGGAATCCAATAAGAAGCATCCCTTCCCCTGCCCCACGTCCTACCGCACAGCACTCACGTACTACCTGGACATCACCAACCCACCCCGCACCAACGTGCTCTATGAGCTGGCTCAGTACGCCACGGACCCCAGCGAGCAGGAGCGCCTCCGGAAGATGGCATCATCTGCTCCCGAGGGCAAGGTGGGAGCTGGGGCCTTCCCAGCATGGCTGCTGGGCTCAGCTGGGTGCCGGGGTGTCCCCAGAAGGGATGCAGAGAGCTGGGGGGTTGCTGCTCTCATAGGGCAGTTGTAATGCGTGCGCCCTCCTTGCCCACAGGCTCTGTACCTCAGCTGGGTGGTGGAAGCCCGCAGGAACATCCTGGCCATCCTGCAGGATATGCCCTCGCTCTGCCCCCCCATTGACCACTTGTGTGAGCTCCTGCCCCGCCTGCAAGCCCGCTACTACTCCATCGCCTCCTCCTCCAAGGTGAGTGTGCAGGGCTGAGGCTGCTGAGGCACCCCTTCAGCTGCAGCCCCATGGTGCCATGGGGGGGGCTGCACATGGGGAACTCACCCTGGCAATGCTTTCTGTGAGAGGGGCACCTTTAGTTCTCTCTATGCATGAGAAGAGGGAATCATCCCAGCTGCCACAGGGGGTGTAAAGGATCCCACACTGCATCCAGTTGTACTTGGATACCACCACCCTCCCCTACAGCCCTGCTCCTCTTTGCCCAAAGGCCTTGTTTTGGGGGCTTGGAAGCAAGATGGCATTTTAGGGGCTGGTCAAAATTCACTCACTGCTTTGTACCTGAAGCCCTTGTGGCTGTTGGCATTACTGAGGGGAGCTCAGTGCTCCTGTGATGAGTTGGGTGCAAAACAGAAGGCCTGTGTGGGGTCTGGTGGGAGGTTTGCTCGGCCTTGGTTTGTTGGGTTAAACTCCTGCCCCCTGAACACACTGAGCTGTGGGGCTGCCTCTGCCTGGCACTGACCCCCCCCCCCTTCCCTGCAGGTTCACCCCAACTCCATCCACATCTGTGCCGTGACGGTGGAGTACGAAACCAAGACGGGACGGGTGAACAAAGGGGTGGCCACCAACTGGCTCAAGAGCAAGGTGCCCACCGACAACGGGAGCAGCTCCCTGGTGCCCATGTACGTGAGGAAGTCTCAGTTCCGCCTGCCCTTCAAACCCAGCACCCCCGTCATCATGATCGGACCAGGCACTGGCATCGCCCCCTTCATGGGCTTCATTCAGGAGCGGGCCTGGCTCAAGCAGCAGGGTGAGTGCCCTGGGGCCTGGAGCCGCTGCAGGAGGGTGCTTTGTGCAGCTCTGTGCTGCTTGCATCACCTGTGGGGTTAGCCAAGAGCGGGGTGAGCGGCAGCGAAGGGGTTTCGCTCAGTGTGAGGATGCTCTGTGCTCCTCTGGGCCATAGAGGGGGGCAGATGATAGACCTGAGTCAGTTCTCTGGCCATGCCCCAACCTGTCTCTAGATAACCACAGCTGTCACTTACACTTATTTCTATGCTTGCTTCTGGGAATCGGTCTCAAGCTTCCCCTCAGGAACAGAAGCAGTCACAGAATCCCAAACTGGTTTGGGTTGAAAGGGACCTTAAAGCTCCTCCAGCTCCAACCCCTGCCACGGGCAGGGACACCTTCCACTAGAGCAGCTTGCTCCAAGCCCCTGTGTCCAACCTGCCCTTGAACACTGCCAGGGATGGGGCAGCCACAGCTTCTCTGGGCACCCTGTGCCAGCGCCTCAGCACCCTCACAGGGAAGAGCTTCTGCCTAAGAGCTCATCTCAGTCTCCCCTCTGGCAGGTTAAAGCCATTCCCCTTGTCCTGTCCCTACAGGCCCTTGTCCAAAGCCCCTCTCCAGCTTTCCTGAAGCCCCTTTAGGCACTGGAGCTGCTCCAAGGTCTCCCTGGAGCGTGGTGCAGCTCCGCTTTGGCAGGATAAGGGGAGGGGGAAGGAGAGGGCTGCAGGATGCAGCTGATGGTGCTGTGTGTCTGCAGGCAAAGAGGTGGGTGATACAGTGCTGTACTACGGCTGCCGCCGCGAGCGCGAGGACTACCTGTACCGTGAGGAGCTGGGCCGCTTCCAGCAGGATGGGGTCCTCACCCAGCTCCACATCGCCTTCTCCAGGGACCAGGCTGAGAAGGTACCACCCTGCTCCCCTGCTGCGTGCTCAAGCTGCCCCCCATCAGTGGGGAAAGGCCCTGAGGGCTGGAGCTTTCCCCTTGCAAGCATAGGAGCACCCAGCACCACCGCTGTCTTGTGCAGCCGTGTCCATGGGCTCGGCTTCCCCACCTCCCCACGGGCTGTGATATGGGGGCTCTGCTCCCCTCGCCTCACTCCTGCCTTGTTTTTTACCAGGTTTATGTTCAGCACTTGCTGAAGAAGAACAAGGAAAACATCTGGAAGCTGGTTCATGAGGGGAATGCTCATATCTACGTGTGCGGGTAGGTCCGGTGGCAGGGAAGACACTCCTGGTCTCAGGAAGATGAGGGTGACTCGGTGTTACTGGGGTCACACTGTCCTTGTCCAGGGGAGGGCGATGGGTTGGGGTGGAACTGTCCCTGTTTGGGTGTCAGGAGCTGACAGGGGCTCTGATGCCTCCCTCATGGTGCCCTTGCTTCCAGCGATGCTCGCAACATGGCCCGGGATGTGCAGAACACCTTCTACGAGATCGTGGCCGAGTTTGGGAACATGAGCCAGCCCCAGGCCGTGGACTATATAAAGAAACTGATGACAAAGGGCCGGTATTCCTTGGATGTCTGGAGCTAAGAGCAGGGCCACGGAGGGAACAGGTCCCCAGCCTGGGCCCATGGGAGGTGGGAAGTGCCTGCGCGCCCGCTGCTGCTGTGGGTGATGCTGTCCCCAGCACGCAGCTACCCCGGTGTCACTCCCAACCCCTCCTGGGCCATGGCAGCCCCAGGGCAGGCTGCGTGCCCTGGGGTGGATGGGGTTGAGTGGGGCAGGGGGGTAGCTGGGGCTGTGGTGCTGATGGTACCCAGGGAGCACCTCATGGCACCAGCACTGAGGTAGGGATGCGGCTGATGCGGGGCAGAGGGGATGGATGGTGCTGGGGGAGCTCTGGGGTCCTTCCCTGAACATGAGGTGCTGCCTTATCCCGTGTGGGGCTGGTGTGAGGGCACAGCTCTGCCCTGTGCCACCAGCACCCTGCAGGGACCCTGCTCCAGTTCCTGCTGCCCACCTTTGCCTGCAGCAGGGAGGGGATGCCTGGCCTCACCTCCCCTCTGTCTGGGGGGGGGGGTGTCTCAGCCCTCAGGGGCCCTGCAGCTTGCCTGTGCCCAGCCTCTTCCTCCTGCTGTGCACGGTCATTTTATAAATACTGTTTTTATTTTAACATCTTTTTGTGATTTAATCGGGGGAGGGGGGAGGGGGAGGCACCTTCAGGCTGTCCAATGGCTCTAAATTATTTAAATACATCTGCCCTTGGAATAAAACCCCTCTTTGTGTCATCTGCTTCCTGCGATGGCTCTGCACTGGGGCACAGCACTTGAGAGGGGGCAGAGCTTCTCTTCTGCCATCTCTTGAGGACACTGAGGTCCTGCTGGGCTCAGCTTGGCCAAAGGGAAGGTGTCCACAGCGCCCTTCACCCCAGGGGCACTTGGTGGTGGTCCTTCCCTCCCCTTGATGCTGTGTCAGGGGCCCGCTGCCACAGGAGCCAAAACCACAGGAGCTGTTGTGACACCACCTCAGTGACCCAGGCAGCACCTTCCCTTTATTGTCACAAGTGCATCCCCCAGGGGTGCCAAAGGTGCTGTTTGCACAGCTCCAGGATGAAGCCTGGATCAGGCTCGTGGTGTTCCCACCCCTCTGGTGCTTCAGCTCCTCCACCTCTGCCCTGGGGCTTGATGGTAAAGGAGGAGCTGGGGTAAGAACCAGCACTTCCAGCTGCTTTGGAACATAGAGAGGGCTGCCTATGAGGGCCTTGGAAGGGGTGACCATCGCCCCTGGACGCTGCCTTGTCCCAGTGGTGCATTGGGATGGGGAGCACTTACAGAGCTGGGCTGACCCCAAGGACCAGTAACTGTCTTCAGGGCTGAGGGGAGGGAGCAGCAGCCCCGGGCACGCCGCTCCCCTGCAGGTAAAGGCAGATGGGGCAGGATGCTCCCGATTCCAGGGGAGTGACAGGGACATGGATCCAGCACCGCAGAGAACACACAGTCTGTTCCCATCCCACACCCAAGGGATGGAGTGAGACACCAGAATCTGGACGGCATCGAGGAGATACAGGGATGGGAGATGGAGCTGGGGGGGAGAAACAGTCCTGGCCCCCACACTGCCCCCCTTCAGTCCTGCTTCATGTCCTTATTCTTGTTCTGGAACTTCTGGTGCACGACGCGGAGGGTGGTGAAGAAGTTGCCCAGGAAGAGGATGAGGAAGGGGAGGCCGCACATGAGGACCTATGGAGGGATGGGTGAGCAGGAGCAATGGGCGAGGGGCACCCTCTGTGCAGGGCCCCCCCCCTTACCTGCCACTCCTTGCATTCTGGGTGCTGGAGCATCCGGAAGAGGGTGATCGCGTTGTAGAGCTGCCAGAACTGCAGGAAGAGAGGAGAGTGAGGGGGGTTTAGGCTCAGCCCCGCGTTGATGCTCACCCACCTGCTCCCTTTGGGCACAAACACCAAGCACCAACACAAGCGGTGGAGGTTGGGGATGCTCTGGAGGGAAGAAAAGGCTCAGTGTTTGCTGAAAGCACTTCCCTGCATCAGCATTGTGCAGCTAAAGCAGCCTGCGGGGGCCATGGGGGAGCTGCGAGGGCTGGAGCAGCTCTGCTCTGGAGCCAGGCTGAGAGAGCTGGGCTGGGTCAGCCTGGAGAAGAGAAGGCTCCTGAAGGGGAGACCTGAGAGCAGCTCCAGTGCCTAAAGGGGCTGCAGGAAAGCTGGAGAGGGGCTTGGGACAAGGGATGTAGGGACAGGACAAGGGGAATGGCTTTAACCTGCCAGAGGGGAGACTGAGATGAGCTCTTAGGCAGAAGCTCTTCCCTGTGAGGGTGCTGAGGCGCTGGCACAGGGTGCCCAGAGAAGCTGTGGCTGCCCCATCCCTGGCAGTGTTCAAGGCCAGGTTGGACACAGGGGCTTGGAGCAAGCTGCTCCAGTGGAAGGGGTCCCTGCCCGTGGCAGGGGTTGGAGCTGGAGGAGCTTTAAGGTCCCTTCCAGCCCAAACCATTCCATGACCTGTGCTGCCAGGAACACAGCAGGATCTGCTCCCACCTGAGGCTCTGGCCTCTTGCCTCAGTGTGCACTCACATGCCCGAAGAAGAGGAAGGGAAGCAGGAATGTGAGGCCTCTCCACATCCAGGACTGGAAGCCCTCTGCAAAGGAAGAAGGTTTTGAGGATCCGGGAATGTGCCAGCTGGGGCCTGGTGTAGCCCCCAGGAGAGCAGGAGCAGGGGAGCATCCACCCTATGGGATGCTGCTGCCTCATGGGAGATGCTGCTCTCAGAGCTTTGGCTTCACTTGCAGCTTTCCCTGCTTCTGCCAGCGATAAACCAGAGCCAAACTAACCCCAAAACTAAAGCCACTGTCACCATTGCCTTGACCAGAACCCAGAGCTCCCAGTGAGCCCAGTGCCAGGCTGGGGCTGGGATGGAGGCAGCGGTGGCAGCAGCTCCACTAGGATTGGGAAGATCCCGACTTACCCACGGTCAGGTCCATGTTGTGCCTCTCGCCCAGCGCTCGCAGCCGGTACAAGCACCCGCTCTGGTAGTAGTACTGCAGGAACTGCACGAAGCCTGCAAGGAGGGAATGGCCATGGTCAGCACGGGCCCAGGCATCAGCCTGGCGCTGGGACAGCACCACACTGCCCATCCCAGCACCAGGATGGAGGCCAAGGGAAAACCCAGGTGAGCCCAAGAGCTGGGAGCAGCTACAGCCAGGTCTGCCCGTGCTATGGAGGCAGGCAGGCGTGCCCAGCCCTCTGTCACACCCCCCATGGCAGCACTTACTCTGGTACATGGAGAAGGAGAGGAACTGGTTCCTGAACATCTGGTACATGAGCCCATCTGGCCTGTGGAGAGACAGGTGTGGGGTGAGAGGAGGCCCAGCCAGCCCTACTGAAGTGGGGGGGGACACCCCAGGTTGGGCACTGGGGACCACCTCGTGTTTCCCAGCCCACCCTGCCTGGTGAGGAGCACGTGGAGCTGACTGTTAGATCCACAGAGCAGGATTATGGCCATGGCTTGGGGCAGCAAAGGCACCTGAGCCATCCATTGCCCAAAGCAAGGACCCCCATGGGATGGGGACACAGACCTACCATGTCAGCATGACTCCCGAGAGGAAGGTAGAGATGTAGTGATGGAAAACCCACCAGCCTTTGATTCTGGAAGGCAGACACAGAGAAGGGGAGTCAGGTCCTGAGCACCCAAACACGCACCAGGAGAGCAGGGCCCTTCCCACTGCTGCTCCACCTTCCCACCCCACCTCTGCGTGGGGAGTGACTCCTGCCCCGCTCCTACAGCTCACCCCAAGCTTTGCTACACACCCTGAGTAGGAGGAAGCTGCTCCCTTGGGAAGCACGGAGCTAGGTGATGGGTCCCAGCTCCCAACAACTTCTCCTCACAGAGAAGGACAGTTCGCTGCATGCCCCCTTCCCAAGCCCATGGGACTCACTTGGATCCGTTGTTGATGAGGATGCTCTCCCGGATGGTGAGGGTGCAGTAGTACCACACCAGGAGGAAGTTAAAGACGGCGTCTGTCACCCTGGTGTCACACAAAGCAGGGTGTAAAGGCAGCAGCAAGGCGCTGGGACAGCAGGATGCCCACCAAGGCAGTGAGAGCTGCTTCCCCACCATCACCAAGGCCACAGTGAGACCACAGCAGCCACCCCACCTCTAGGGCAGCAGCCAGATCCTTTGCCAGGGTCTCCTCTGGACCTTTCAGGATGGGACAGGAGGACACAAGGGCTCTGGGAGGAGATCCCTGCCCAGTATCCAAGCCAGACTCACCTGGTATTGACAAGGAACCGACAGGAGGAGGAGATAATGAGTAAGATGATGGTGAGGTAGAGCTTGAACTTCTCATACTCATCTTTATAGGCAAACCTGCAGGGAAACACAAGGACAGGCTTGGAGCAAGGTGGCTGCTGGAAATCCGTGTCCTCCCATCCCACCCGGCTGGGCAAAAGTGTTGTTCCATTAGGGATCACTAGGACATGCTCAGGAAAAGCCCCATCTCCCAGGTATTCCTGAGGAGAGCACCCCAGGCTGCTTTCACAAGGTGAGACACCATCAAGGACTCTGGGCAGATGGATCTGTCTCCAAGGAGAGGCCTGGGGAACATGGGCACCTCTGGCTCTGGTGTCCCACCATGGGGATGCTCTCAGTAGCCAAAACCAGCCCTTGGTGTTTCCCCAAGGGAAGAGGAGGGGTTTGCCAGTGGCTGCACGGGGCTGTCTCTCCTGGAAGTGCCCAACACAGGGGAAACCCAGCACGGCATCGGTGGAGGATCCCATTTAGCTTGTCAGAGCTGCGGGTCCAGCCCAGCCCAGCAGCAAGGATGTAAGGAGATGAGGGTTCAGCTGGTTCTGGATGCAGGAGCTGCACTGGGCAGGCCACGTGTCTGCACATGCAGCAGCTCATCCCGGAGGAGCTGCTGTTGTTCCCTGGTGTCCCGGGGGTCCCCAGCCATGCAAAGCACCGGGTGCAGGAGCCGTACTTGGCCTGCTTGCTGAGCAGCGTCACGTTCACGTTCCCAAGCACCAGACTCAGGTACAACCTGGGGAGAGAGCAGAGGCGTTAGGACAGGTGGTGCTCTGCAGAGCCATGCCATGGCATCCAGGAGCTCCCAGCTGTCTCCCACCCGGGGCTGCCAGGCAGCGTGACTGGCACAAATGTGCTGGCATCACCTCCCAAGGGCACGGGGACGGGTGGCTGAGCACACCCCGCTCCTGGTTTGGGCTGGGATAGGGGTTGTTTTCCTCCTAGTAACTGGTGCTGTGCTCTGATTTGGCTTTAGTGTGAGAATAACGCTGATAACACAGCGATGGTTTAGGATAAACGCTTCCCAGCAACCAGGACTTCCCAGTTTCCTGTGCTCTGCCAGTGAGGAGTTGCACAAGAGGTTGGGAAGGAGAAGAGCCAGGGATGCTGACCTCAACTGGCCAAAGGGGTATTCCGTGGCAGAGATCCTCAGGCTCAGCATAGAAACTGGGGGGAGCTGGGTGGGAGCCACTGGTTGAGGATCAGTCAGCGGGTGGTGAGCAATTGTATTGTGCATCATCTGCCTGCCTCAGGTTTTATTCCTCTCTCTTTTCCCTATTATTATTGTTATTATATTCTACTTTATTTCCATTATTAAACTTAACTCCCAGGTTTCACCTTGTTCCTATTCACCCCATCCCACAAGGGGGGACTGAGCGAGTGGCTGCCTGGTACTTGCCTGCTGGTGTGGTTAAACCCCGATAACACCCCATATGTCCCCCAGGTACAGGGGTTTTACCAGGGCTTCCCCTGGCCCATGGCCACCATTCAAGGGCAGGTGAAGGCCACCGGAGGCAGAGGCTCAGCCTGGCTCCTGCCCAGGCGTCCTCCAGCACGGCTGTGAGGCTGTCACCAGGAGCAGGGTGACAGCCGCAGGGCTGCGGAGGGAGGACGTGGTGTTTCACCCAGGGACAAGGTGCCTCTTACCCGTTCTTCTTTGGCAGGTAGGCCTCCATCTCAAAGAACACGTTCTGCCTCTCCTTTATCAGGCTCTGGGTCTCCTGGATGGTCTCCTGCTGCTCGGGGCTCGCGTGGGCTTTGCATCTGGGGAGGAAACAAGGTGCTGGCGTCAGGACAGCGTCTGAAACACACTCAGCATGTGCTGGAACTCAGTACGTGACTGTCTCAGGCAAAGACACCCCAAGGACAGGGAAGATGGGCCGGAGGCAAGTCCATGCCTCCGTGTGCAGGGCGAGCTCCTGTTGCTCGAGGAAAGGAAGCAGGAATGAGAGTGAGGTGAGGCCGTATGGGGCCTTTCACCCTTTGGGAAGGATGGGGAGAGCTCTGTGCAGCTCAGGTTCCCTGCAAAGCCCTTGCAAGCTCTGAGCTGCAAATGGGGGCAGAGGAAAGGGGAGCTGATGCGGATCCAGCCTCCACAGCTCTTTGCTACCAGCGAGGCTGCAGGAGGGGCTGTGCTGGGGACAGAGCTGAGGTCTGACAGTCCCATCCTTCGCAGGACAAGCACTTACTTCTTGAAGGACAACGCCAGCTCCTTCAGCCGCTTCTTCTGCCGTGCGATGGAGCTGGAGATCCCGTCCTGCAGCTTGGTTAACTCCTCGAGCTTCTGCTTGTACAGCCTGTGGTTGTCCTGGGAAGCAGAGAACACCATGCACTACAGCTGCCTGCCCTCTGTGCGGGCATCTGCTGTCCTTAATTCACGTGCACAGCACTGGTACCCAGAGCTGTCTGCATAAGGACAGGCGTGTCTGGGGACAGCCTGAGGGCAGAATCAGCCCCTGGGGATGCCCATCCCCAATCCCAAGGGATTTATCTACAGGTGCAGGCACATCCACATGGCACAGCCTGCTCCTGCCTTGCCTATGGCTTGGGTTTGCCCCCCTTGTGAAAGCTTGTGTCCTTGTGTCCCACTGCAAGGATGCTCCCATCTTCGGGAATCCATTGATTGTGGCACAGGGGAATGGAAAGAGGGGGAAAACACACTGCTGGTGGCAGGGATATAACTGAGAGCCACACGGGAGCAGTGGCTTTAGCTGCAGGGATGGGATGAGCGGCATTCTCTGCCTGGAGGTTTGTGCACCACCGGCTCATGGCTCCATCCCAAGCACCCCAAAGGAGCTGGGACAAGGGAGGCTGGAGCCAGCTCCGGGGCAGCGGTAACCCAACCATACCTGGGTCAGGCCAGATCCCATTCCTCACTATATTTAGAAGGGGAAGGCGAGAGCACGCTGGATCAATGCTGCTGCTTGTCCAGGTCAGCTGGAGCACAGCCTCAGCACCACCTCCCCCCCGGGCACCCAGTGCTGCTCACACCAACCCTTGGACCAGACCTTGACACACACACACACACACACGTTCCAGCTGCCGTGGCTCTTATCAAGCACTTCATCAGCAGCTCTCAAAGGTGAAAGGGATGCAGAGGAGGCAGGGGACCCCTTCTCCTCCTGGTGACAACGAGCGGCAGGGTGGGAATGGAGCCCAGAGTGCCGCGGCAGTGATTTACGTCCCAGGCTCTCAATGGACGTTCCCATCGAGCTTTCCTGCTCCCCACCTGGAATCCCCTCCTTCCTGCTCTGGAGTTAACCGAGCGCAAGCGGCTCTTGTGCTGGCACCTTCAGCCGTGCTCAGGACCCATCCCAGGCGCAGGGGCTGAGCCGGGACATCCCCGCCACCCTGATGGAGCAAGAGGAGGTTTCTCAAAGCCTCCCTTGTCCCAGATCCGGGCCCGGCCGCGACGCAGCCGCTCCCGGGAGGGAAGGAGGGGGCACGGGGACTGGTGCACCCGCGGCACGGTTCCCTTGCCCGAGCTTCCCCTTGGGTGACCGCTGAGCCCTGCGCGCTCCGTGACAGGCACCGGGCGGTCCCACATTGCTCCCCGCCGGTACCGGCGGCTGTGTCCCGGCCGCAGCGCCGCTCCTGCACCCGGCTTGGTGCTGAGGGGAGCCGGAGCCCCGCTGCCGCTCCCGTTCCGCACGGTACCTGGATGCGCTGGAAGCCGTCCTGCAGCTCCTCCCACTCCCGCAGGCACTCGGCAGCCGAGCCCGCCATGGCCGACATGGCGGCGGCTTCAGCCCGCGGCCCGCCCGCTTCCGGCACGCCCCGAGGGCGGGGACAGCGGCAGGGCCGGGCCGGAGCCGGGGGTGATGGAGCCGTGGGTGCAGGGGATGGGGTGGGATGGAGGGGGCTGAAAGCTCATCCAGCTCCAACCCCTGCCATGGGCAGGGACACCTCACATCAAACCAGGGCACCCAAGGCTCTGTCCAACCTGGTCTTGAACACTGCCAGGGATGGAGCATTCACAACTTCTCTGGGCAACCCATTCCAGTGCCTCAGCACCCTCACACTAAAGAACTTCCTCCTGAGATCCAATCTAAACTTCCCCTGTTTCAGTTTTAACCCGTTACCCCTTGTCCTGTCACTACACTCCCTAATGAAGAGTCCCTCCCCAGCATCCCTATAGCCCCCCTTCACACTGGAAGCTGCTCTGAGGTCTCCATCAGCTTCTCTTCTCCAGGCTGAACAGCCCCAATGTTCTCAGCCTGGCTCCATACAGGAGGTGCTCCAGCCCCTGAGCATCCTCCTCTGGACTTGTTCCAACAGTTCCATGTCCTCTGTATGCTGAGGACACCAGAACTGCACACGATGCTCCAGGTGAGGTCTCACAAGAGCAGAGTAGAGGGGCAGGATCACCTCCCTCGCCCTGCTGGTCACGCTCCTGTTGATGCAGCCCAGGATGCGGTTGGTTTCTGGGCTGTGAGCTGTGTTCTGGTTTTCCTTACAAACAGCAGCCTGGCCCAAGGAAACCAGGAGGGACCAAAAGCAGAATCACAGCCCTCTCCCAGTGCACAGGGCTCTTGGCAGCTCAAAGGGCTGTCCTGCTGTCAGCACAGGCGGGTCTGGGTGTGGGTTCACATGCAGAAGGCTGGGACTTCCAGCTTCCACTGGGACTGGAACAGGGAAATCCTGTCGTCGCCCCTCCGGGCTGGAGGCGGGCGCAGTCAGACTGAATTCACCATCCCAGGCTGTGGACTGACAGACCTTTCCAGGGACAACCCTAATGACTGCCCCGTACCTGGGGTAATGAGTGTGCCCAATAGCCTGGTTACCATCCCCTTAGCTTACAAGAGAGATGAGCAGCACGTAACGGGCCGCATCCCGCAGGGTTTGCTTTCCCAACCTGCTGCCTTCAACAGCACAGCTGAGTTCCCCAAATGGCTTCAAAACTTGATCCCAAAACCATGGAGCTAAAGAGGAAAGCCGTTCTATTTTACTTAAAGCTCAAGTAGCTTTCAGCCAGCACAGGGGCGCCGATGGGGAAATGCCATTCCCTGCTGGGTGTTCCCTTCAGTAGTCGAGTTCAGAGATGTCTGTGACCGTGGTCTTGTACATTTTGGTCTCCCAGTCTAAGAGCTGTTTCACAAAGCCTTGGTGCGGTCTCATGTTCGTTTTGCACTTCAGGACATAGCTCCAGGCGCCCTGTGAACGGAAGGGAAGCAGGACAGCATTAGGAACCTCAGGGATTTACACGGAACAGCTGCACTTGTAGCCAGCACAGCTTTGTATTTACCCTGTGTTGGGTGTAAGAACCTGCAGGTAAGACCTTGGCTACTAACGCAGGGACACACAGATTCAGGGCTGAGCTTCAGCCAAGCCTGTCACCTTCACACGCTGCTCTCCTGGGTACAGGACAGCTCAGGCTGCTTTCACTCCCCAGCAGGTATCTCCCATGAGTTTACACTGATGGAACGTTGCACTCCTGGATTTTCTGCCCTAAAACTCTCTTTCTTCCACAGATGATAAGCAAAGCAGTGAACTATCAGCTATTCACAAGCAAGCCACAAAGGTTATCATGTGTCTGGACTGGTCTGATCTGATGTGATAGAGCAGCTATGCCACTCCAGTTACCCCGCTGCACTGCTTACAGCCACCTTATCTGTGAGTTCCAAGTGATCAGCTCAGAGCTCTGCTACACACAGGGTAGATCCACCAGGATCCAGCTGCATCCTTGGGTTTATCCATCCCTTTCCTGCTTTTAAAACAGACTGCCCCCCACACTTGGAGGGTTGCTTAAGCCTAATGAGACCAAAGGTTAGCAGATAGTGCTCCATTGGTTTGCTTTTCTAATCTCAGTGATTCTGCAGGCTCCAAGGCTGATACAGTGCAATATTGTCCCCTGTGAGCCCACAGCGTGGATGTCTCCAGTTCCCCTGAACTCAACAGATCGATTACTAATCGAATAAGGGGCCGCACATCCCAAATCTCTCCGTCTTTTGCGACATCTGCATCTTTGGAAGCTTTCAAAGCTCTTTGGCTGGACCGGCTGCAGGATCCCATGGGAATCTATTGCACTGCTTTCGTCTGCAAGAAACGAACTTGTCTGCCAGGGGAATCCCTCAGGAAAGCTTTTCCCAGCCAAGCAGCACCCCAGGTCAGCCTTTCCTCCTCCTCCTTTTTGGCACTTGGGGAAATGCTGACTCCAACCTGTTGATACCAATGGAGGGAAATCTGCAAGGGTCAGCCTTTGACTTTGGCACCGCGGTAAGATAGCACGCGAAGGGTTATCAGTGTGCAGGAGCAATCCCACCCCACGATATCAGCAGTGTCTGCAGCCCGGCGGGCATGCTCAGCCTGAAATCACCCCTTGGCACCCAGCAATGGTGAAAGATTTCCCCTTATGTTTGCACAAGCTCCATTAAACGATTAGATATAGGCCCAGCTTCAGGGGAGTTTGGATCAATCCTTTCAGGCTCCCAAAGGAGGAAACATCTTCCAAACAAGGATAAGGCTTTTAAGGAGATGCTCTTCAGTTCCCATGGGAACTAGCTGGCTCTGTGTTAAGCAGGCACCATTTGGATGGTGCCTATGGGAGCACGATGCCCAAGCGTTGCATGCAAAGGGAAGAAGGACCTGGCACCAGGGGCGAGGCCATCAGGCCAAAGCACAGCCAGGTCACTCTCAGCCATCATTCATTATTGTTCTTCTGTTATCCAGAGCTGTGGAACAGCAGGTACTGGCCTTCTAACCTGTATATCCCTCCGGAGCTAGTATTGTCCCATTCCTGTTCTCTCTACAGTAGTTTCTGTGTGAGGGGATTGCTTCTGGAGAAATAAAACAGGATTTTGGAAGAAGTCAGTGCTGGCACTGAAGTCAGTGGTGAACCAGAGCCCTGCAAGCACTGGGTTCCAAATTTCCCTGTAACCCCCATGGTATTAAGAGATGGGATTAACTCCAGCAGCTTCCAGATTCTGTCTTTCTCGGATCCAGGAGAGCAGAAATACTAAGTTCTGTAACCACAGCTTTATTTTTATAGCCCCATAGTTAAGTAGGGAAACGTAAGAATATCAGAGGTGCCAGGATAAGGACCCACAGCTCCAAAAATCGCACCTGAGCCACCTCCCTAACTCTATAAAGAAGATGCAATCTCATGTAATATCATCTGTTGCATTATCAGGTGCATGAAAGCACAGACAATGTCTCTCTTATTACTGCAGTAATGAGGCTACAGAAGCAGAAATAAACTGCAGACCCAGCCAGTACCTCTGGGAAATAGAGCAAGGATGTACCTTCAGGGAAAACATGCAGGAATGAATAAGATAGGCCATGACTCCTGTGCTGCTCCGGCTTATCCCCAGGCTGGAGAACACCAGCACCGCTCCGTGATCCAGCTGAGCATCTGGGGAAAGAAATGCCAATCATGGATTAGGGATCTGGGAAATGAAGCTTCCAGCAGCCAAGCACTAAGGCAGTGACAGCCGACAGCTCCCAGCCTGAGCAACAGGACCCTCATGAGCCCTGGCAGCAAGAGATGGGCACTGCCAGCTCCTGGTGCTGGAAGCCTGAGTTAAGACATGGCTGTGGAGACCAGAACTAGATGGCAATGACCAGTGAATGCTTTATTACACATCAGTGCCACCTTTCCATCAGGTAGCTGAAGAAGAGTGGTCCACCACGAGCAGTCAGCTTGGTCAGCACCACATCACCTCCTCAAACTCTTCCCAGACAGGTTTAAAGGCATTGAAATTGCTGATGAATGCAAGCCTGTTGTCCACTCAAGTTGGAGGAATCAGCTCTCAGTCTGGAGGGGACTTAGACTTCAAATCCCTTACTTTTCTATGGGGATTACTAGTAAGAAGTGTGCATATGCCAGCTAAGGCACAGGTTTTATGATGTTTTGACGATGGATAATTTGCAGTGGAATTTGCTAAGATGAGCAAACTCATTTTCTCCAAAAACTAAGCCCAAGGATGCTGTCAGTCACTCCTAACCACGGTAACTCTGCTACTTATGCCTGACAGGCTGCATGTTTTATTCATAGCCTTTTGATTGCTTTCCTTCCCTCTCCAGAGCAGGCAGCATGGCATGTTTTTATCAGCAACTGAACTCCAGCATTCATAGGGCAAAGGTTCTTCTTTTACTGCTGTGAAGAGGTTGTGAGGTTTTGATTCTTTTTTAAGCACTAGAACAGTGTTTTATAACTTATTTCTACCATGAGATATTAGTTCTGTTCTAAGACCTGAGTAGAAATGGCCCTACTCCAACATACACCTGGCGTGATGATACCCACACTCCTCTCAGAGTATGGGGAAAGCCTTAGCGTAGTGTTCACCCATAACCGTTCCAGCTTAAGTGATTTACTTTAGACTATCAAGTGAGCAGTTTGACCATCAAGTAAACAGCACACACTAATACAAGAGCTACAGCTCATAAACTCTTACAGTCTTTCTTCTGCAATACTACTGGGAAAAAACCCAGGGCAAAATGAAAGGCAAGGAAGTAGATTTTGCTCTTTGGGTTTCGATGCATGTGAATAGGTTCAGGGCCATTAGATCCTCAAATGTCATTTCCTTCTTTCTCTCTTTGTGCCCAGTTGTCATTTCTCATATTGGATGATAAGGTCTGTGGGGACAAAGTGGTCTTTTGCTTCTGGGTCGCTCCAGCGCTCAGCTCAGCAGGGCCTTGGTGTTGTGAGTGTGATAAGAGATAATGATGGGGTTGGACACAATGACAGGATGGAGCTGTGGGAGCTGTGTCTGCTGTGGGCACTGAGCTGGAGAGCATGTCTTTTCTTGCTTTCTCTGATGCAATCAGTTGAAGGCAGGTTTGTGCCGTCCAACCTGAAAGTCTTCCCAGGCTCTACAGTGGGTCTGCACTGCCCATCACAAAGACTGTGGGGAGTTCTCTAGCGTGTGTCACTCTCTGGTTCAAATAAAGCTCTGGTGGCTGAAGATTTGGACTGGTAAGAGCCAAAGGTGTCCACTGGGGTGTGGGCTGGCTTGGGAGCATACTGATTTTGACAGCTCCCGTCCCTTCTGTCTGAGCTTCCTGTTCAAGTGACTCACAGCTGCTCCCACCTAATATCCTACAGTGAGCAAGGTCTCGGGGATCGCAGAGCAGGAACAACTCACCTATGAAATGACAAATGGTGGGAAAGGAAGAAAAAAGGTCTGCTTCAAGTGTATCTGGAACAGACACATGGAGGTATCTGTCGCTGTCTGCAAACCTGGAAAAAGAGCACATTGTGTGATGGGAACCAGAGAAGCAGCTTTGAGAAACATGGTTGTTGGAGGCAAGCTGGCAACTGCCTTTGCTGGGACATGTGTGAGCTTTACAGCATCATCATCATTAGCATTATGATAAGGGATTTGTTACAGTAAGACACCGAGGCACTTGTAATACAGAACCAGTTTAATTACTGGTTTTCCATTCCACATGGTATCAGCGTTGGTATCGTAACTTCATCTACAGCTTCCTTATCTGAGAAACATCAGTAATTCAGCTTTTACACCAATGTGTTTGTAAGATTTTGCTCTGAGAGCTGTTCAGAGATGTAGGTTCTTTGTGAAGGAGGGCAGAATGTGACAGACTCAAAATGCCAAGGGCTTCCCAGTCCTCCTGTCACCCAACCCACCCATGTCATGGTGGAGGGCTGCAGGACTGCATTGCTGCTGTGCCAGCTCTGGAGTGCAGATCAGAAACAAGAGCATGAAACAGCACTCAAATCTGCAGCAAACAACAGGGGCTTCCCTGCAAGTCCCCAGGCCCTGACTCCTCTGTGGATGGGCTCTGGTGCTGCACCACCTCCCTCCTTCCACACTGGTGAGGGTAATGCACTATTGAACGTACGGTGTTGCGCGCTGTTCGGAGATGTTCACTTGCGCTTGGATCTTCAGGTCTTTCTGTATTTGTTGGTCACAGGCCTGCTTGAAATTGCCCATATATAACTTTGCAGGTAGTATTTCTACAGGGTATGTCTGGAGGTTGGCCAGTTCCTGCCGGAGGGAAACCATCGGCTCAGTTTAGAGAGGGTATTTGCTTCCATTTGCCTCGTAAGTTCTTAAAGGTAAGTCATGCGAAGAGCTGAACACACGCTCAGTCAACAGCCCATGACACGTTCTACTCCAATGACTCATTCAGTCACCTGGACTTTGTGTATATCAAAGTCTTTGTTAGATGTACTGAGAGTCAGTAACAGCATTGCTGTCACTGTGGCCTTACTTGAAACAAACCCTAACTAAACAGGAGTCTTTCCATTTCTGGGGTACTGCAGCACAACGGACGCATTTGATGTTCTCCCTGGTTACTCTTCACAAGGCTGAATGGCATCAAATGCCACCTGCAGAGCTGCACAACACAAGTGTGCAACTGCATCCTGTGTCTGCGTGTGAAGGCTGGGTTGCCAGCAGTGCCTCTGCATCCCTGATACTCAGCTGATGCTACAGCAGAACAAAGCAGCAGCCTCGCAATTTAAAGCAGCAGAGAGCAACAGCTTAAACTGAGAGCTCAGTCTGATGGGGAAGTTCAGCAGTTTGCTGCTCTTCGCAGAGGAGCACAAAGCAAGCTGGTTTTCAGCGCTGTGCTGCAGCATCCCACAGGTTAGCACTGTATCATGGCCACTTCATGTGAATCAGAAGTGACTAGGAACCACAGAAACAAAAGACATGTTGCAATGAGATGCTCTCTGCTCTACAGCACCCTCTGAATCTGCCTCAGGTCCTCAGATGTGAAAAAAGGGTAATTGTTTCTCATAAGCTAAATAGATCAATGTTCCTAGGTGAAACCAAACAATGAGGACACCAGCGCTGCAGTACATGGCTGTTTTGTTTCTGGGCCTCTTGAAGCAATGCAGCAGCACCTGGTTTGTGATCCTTTCCAATGAAAAGCTTTATAGACATGGAACATGGTGCTTGATAGGGTTTGTACTTCTGTCTGAAAACATTTCCTGTGTTTATGTGGTATTTACATGGCAACCCCATGTGAGAGAGGAGCCTGCCTCTTTTCATCATTTACTACTGTTTGCTCAGTTGTCTGTACTCTCCAGTAGGCCAGTTTCAGGGTTGTCAGAGAAACCCTCCCATGTTGTTCTCATTAGCAATAGAAGAGGAAAGAAAGACCAAGTACGGCTGTCAAAGAATTAGTGGTGAGACTCAGGGCAAGCACGGCCACCCAAATGACATTGGGTGTCTCTGTTTAAAATGACTCTGATGTGAGGTTTAGGCCACCATCATTAGCCATCATCAGCTGAATATGAATACTGATGTGTTCTATTTGCAAGTTAGTCTCGTCTTACCCAGGGCATCCACAGAGTCCTCTGAGTCCTCAGGAAATGATAGCAAGCTGAAAACTTCTTGTATCCTCCCTGCAGGATGAGCACGGGGTGGCTGGTGAACTGCTCCAAGACTTTAGCATAGTGGATGGCAGTTCCTTTCTTGGCTTCTAAATGAGATCAAAAAGCTCTTTGGCAGGGTCAGAGTGGCTCCATCAGTGCTGGGGGTTACCTCTGCCCCACTGACACCCACAGCAAATTCCTTCTCATTTCATCTAATGCTCTGGAGAAAGCCTTGCTGAGAGCTAGACTTACTCTTTAACTGTTGCTGCACGTCAGTAACGTGGCATGCTGCTTGTCACTTCTTGTCCTGAGCTTTTATTCCTCTCCTGGTTTCTTCTGTAGGTCTAGATAAAAGCTATTTTTCCTCCTCCCTGTTATGCATTAGGAAATGCTTGTAATAAGTTCCCATAATGGGGAAGTATTATCAAATTAGATCTATTAATCTTAGTTTTATGGAGGCTCTTGTCTTTAGTCTGCTTTAGGCAAAGGGGGAGAGAAGGAGGTATATTGAATACATTCTTCATGTTTTAAACACTCCTCTCAGTGAAGTTAATTATGTGAGATGACTGCTCCCACTCCTTCTCCCAGGGGATCCATCCCCCTTGCTTCTAGCTATGTCTGATTTGGAAACAGATCAGCACAATAGAAACCCACTTCTGACTCTTCACACCTTCCCTTGCTCCTGTCTCATCACTGTTTCGCAGTGATGAACACGCTTGCTTTATTCATTCCCCTTACACTCCCATGCTTTTTTGTCTTTAAAATCCTGACTAAAACTACAGTAGCCTTTATACAGCTAAATAGGAGCCAAACAAACACACACGAGTGGCTCTGCACACAGCAGAACTCCTTGCCAAAGGATGTGTGCGAGCTAAACATTTCCATGGTTCAAGGAAGGCCGAACAATTGCATGGCAAAGTTTCCAGCTCTTCACATTTCGCAGTGAACTCCACCAAATCACTACCCCCGTTAAAGCAAAGTCCTTTTAAACAGGATGATGGGAAAGCCTTTTGTAACCGTCCGAGAAGGAAGTACTCACGCTGTGAAGACGTGGAACTTGAGTCAGAAAACCTGCTTCCTGAAAGGCAAGGAGAAGCCCAATCTCAGTGAAATGTAGGGGAAAAAAGAACCCATTCCTCACATGGGATAAGAGGCTTCAGAGGGATCAGTCTACAGCTAGGAAATCAGGCCTGCCAGGATGCTTTGGAAGAAAATCTGGGGTTTTGAGCCTAAGAACATGTGCAAGACAGTCAGAGGCATAGCACAGATGTTCGTTTCTCAAATAAAACTGGGTAAATTCGTCTCTCTTCCAATAAGCTCATAAAATGAAATGAAGAATGGGAAGAATATCTATCTGACAGCAAGGTCTTGGCTACCACGGGTCACACGTACCTCCTTCTTCATCGGAGTCACAGCAGTCCAACGAGCTGGTCTCGTAGTCATACACCACGCAGTATCTGACGCACGCCAGCTCCTCTGAATCTGGGACCAGATACTTCCCCGTAGGACTCTGCCAAAATCACAGAGGAATTCTATCAGGAGCACAGCTCCACTCTTGTGGCATCAACACTATTGACATTTTGCAAGATGCTACTGTATAGCTATGGGACAGATTTGGGTCTGTGCCTGTACTTGACATCGAAAGACCCAGATAGAAGTGATGCAAACTACACCAGATTGCTTCATCAGCAACAGCAGCAAAGATGCCAGCACTTTGTCCTTCGTGAGGCAAGGGTACAATAAGTTAGTTCTTGTGCAATGTTCCTCCTGACACACAACTCCGGGTGCCAGTCCTTTGGGCTACTGGAGCTGCCTTTGCTCTGTGACAGAATACAACCCCCCAGTGGCAGAAGTGGAATATGGCTGGAACAGGCTGGGACAATTCCCATGGGGTTTAAGGCAATTTTGGCTCACTGCTAATTGCTAAACCCAGACTGACCTGTGCAATCCTGCGGGCGGTAAGAATATGGCTCTCATCGTATTCACGTTGAGTGCGGACATCTGAAAAACAAACCCAAACAGCCGAGGGAGAGCAATTGGTTTATTTGATGCTTAAAGGTAGTTCCCTCTTTGTAATTCAGCCAGTGGGAATTCAGGCACTGACATCAGCCAGAGAAAGAGGTACAGGTTTTTAGGGGCTGAGAGTTTCTATGTGGATATAACGAACACCAGCACTGGTGTGAGTCTACGTGCAATGCCACATGTCACATTCAGGTCATGAGCATCCCAGAAATGAGGAGAGTGGCATCCAACCCCACTCCCAAACTGGCTGATTCCCTCACCAAAGCATTTAATATTGCAGTATCAGGCACCCTTTGGGGGGTATTTGCACCGTGTAAGATGCAAATGCTTATGGGCAATCTTAGTGCAATGGTCAAGAAATCCACCTCTACAACCCCTGGGAGCTGCAGAGTGTACCCGTGTATCCCTGGGACGGATCGGAGCAGCAAGAGCTGTATGTGATGGAAACCAGAGAGTACCATGTCATGGCACCTGAAACACCCCACCTGCAACCCCTAGTAACAGCAAGAAGCAACATCTGCTCTTGCCCATAGCTGGAGTCCACAAACCCCATTGCCTTGGGATGCCGGTCCAGGCTGGCGTGTGGTGCCTGGCTGCAGGCATGGTCAGACAGTGTCCGTGTGTCAGTGTGTCAGTGTCAGTGTGTCAGTGTCAGTGTGTCAGTGTCCATGTGTCAGTGTCAGTGTCAATGTGTCAGTGTCAATGTGTCAATGTGTCAGTGTCAATGTGTCAGTGTCCGTGTGTCCGTGTGTCAGTGTCCATGTGTCAGTGTCAGTGTCAGTGTCAATGTGTCAGTGTCCATGTGTCAGTGTCAATGTGTCAGTGTCCATGTGTCAGTGTCCGTGTGTCCATGTGTCAGTGTCAATGTGTCAGTGTCCATGTGTCAGTGTCAATGTGTCAGTGTCCATGTGTCAGTGTCCATGTGTCAGTGTCCGTGTGTCCGTGTGTCAGTGTCAATGTGTCAGTGTCAGTGTCAATGTGTCAGTGTCCATGTGTCAGTGTCCGTGTGTCCACGTGTCAGTGTCAATGTGTCAGTGTCCATGTGTCAGTGTCCGTGTGTCCATGTGTCAGTGTCAATGTGTCAGTGTCCATGTGTCAGTGTCCGTGTGTCCACGTGTCAGTGTCAATGTGTCAGTGTCCATGTGTCAGTGTCCATGTGTCAGTGTCCGTGTGTCCGTGTGTCAGTGTCAATGTGTCAGTGTCAGTGTCCATGTGTCAGTGTCCGTGTGTCCATGTGTCAGTGTCAATGTGTCAGTGTCCATGTGTCAGTGTCCGTGTGTCCATGTGTCAGTCAATGTGTCAGTGTCCATGTGTCAGTGTCAATGTGTCAGTGTCAATGTGTCAGTGTCCGTGTGTCAGTGTCCATGTGTCAGTGTCAGTGTCAGTGTCCATGTGTCAGTGTCCATGTGTCAGTGTCAATGTGTCAGTGTCCATGTGTCAGTGTCCGTGTGTCCGTGTGTCAGTGTCAATGTGTCAGTGTCCGTGTGTCAGTGTCCATGTGTCAGTGTCAGTGTCCATGTGTCAGTGTCCATGTGTCAATGTGTCAGTGTCAATGTGTCAGTGTCCATGTGTCAGTGTCAGTGTCCGTGTGTCAGTGTCAATGTGTCAGTGTCAGTGTCCATGTGTCAGTGTCCATGTGTCAGTGTCCGTGTGTCCGTGTGTCAGTGTCAATGTGTCAGTGTCCGTGTGTCAGTGTCCATGTGTCAGTGTCAATGTGTCAGTGTCAGTGTCCATGTGTCAGTGTCCATGTGTCAGTGTCCATGTGTCAGTGTCCATGTGTCAGTGTCCGTGTGTCCGTGTGTCAGTGTCAATGTGTCAGTGTCCATGTGTCAGTGTCCGTGTGTCCGTGTGTCAGTGTCAATGTGTCAGTGTCAGTGTCCATGTGTCAGTGTCCGTGTGTCCATGTGTCAGTGTCAATGTGTCAGTGTCCATGTGTCAGTGTCCGTGTGTCCATGTGTCAGTCAATGTGTCAGTGTCCATGTGTCAGTGTCAATGTGTCAGTGTCAATGTGTCAGTGTCCGTGTGTCAGTGTCCATGTGTCAGTGTCAGTGTCAGTGTCCATGTGTCAGTGTCCATGTCAGTGTCAATGTGTCAGTGTCCATGTGTCAGTGTCCGTGTGTCCGTGTGTCAGTGTCAATGTGTCAGTGTCCGTGTGTCAGTGTCCATGTGTCAGTGTCAGTGTCCATGTGTCAGTGTCCATGTGTCAATGTGTCAGTGTCAATGTGTCAGTGTCCATGTGTCAGTGTCAGTGTCCGTGTGTCAGTGTCAATGTGTCAGTGTCAGTGTCCATGTGTCAGTGTCCATGTGTCAGTGTCCGTGTGTCCGTGTGTCAGTGTCAATGTGTCAGTGTCCGTGTGTCAGTGTCTGTGTGTCAGTGTCAATGTGTCAGTGTCAGTGTCCATGTGTCAGTGTCCATGTGTCAGTGTCCATGTGTCAGTGTCCATGTGTCAGTGTCCGTGTGTCCGTGTGTCAGTGTCAATGTGTCAGTGTCCATGTGTCAGTGTCCGTGTGTCCGTGTGTCAGTGTCAATGTGTCAGTGTCCGTGTGTCAGTGTCTGTGTGTCAGTGTCAATGTGTCAGTGTCAGTGTCAATGTGTCAGTGTCCATGTGTCAGTGTCAATGTGTCAGTGTCCATGTGTCAGTGTCCGTGTGTCCATGTGTCAGTGTCAATGTGTCAGTGTCCATGTGTCAGTGTCAATGTGTCAGTGTCAATGTGTCAGTGTCCGTGTGTCAGTGTCAATGTGTCAGTGTCAGTGTCAGTGTCCATGTGTCAGTGTCCATGTGTCAGTGTCAATGTGTCAGTGTCCATGTGTCAGTGTCCATGTGTCAGTGTCCATGTGTCAGTGTCCATGTGTCAGTGTCCGTGTGTCCGTGTGTCAGTGTCAATGTGTCAGTGTCCGTGTGTCAGTGTCTGTGTGTCAGTGTCAATGTGTCAGTGTCAGTGTCAATGTGTCAGTGTCCATGTGTCAGTGTCAATGTGTCAGTGTCCATGTGTCAGTGTCCATGTGTCAGTGTCCGTGTGTCAGTGTCCATGTGTCAGTGTCCGTGTGTCTGTGTGTCAGTGTCAATGTGTCAGTGTCCGTGTGTCAGTGTCTGTGTGTCCGTGTGTCAGTGTCCATGTGTCAGTGTCCATGTGTCAGTGTCAATGTGTCAGTGTCCATGTGTCAGTGTCCGTGTGTCCGTGTGTCAGTGTCCATGTTTCAGTGTCCATGTGTCAGTGTCCGTGTGTCCGTGTGTCAGTGTCAATGTGTCAGTGTCCGTGTGTCAGTGTCTGTGTGTCAGTGTCAATGTGTCAGTGTCAGTGTCAATGTGTCAGTGTCCATGTGTCAGTGTCCATGTGTCAGTGTCAATGTGTCAGTGTCCATGTGTCAGTGTCAATGTGTCAGTGTCCATGTGTCAGTGTCCATGTGTCAGTGTCCGTGTGTCAGTGTCTGTGTGTCCGTGTGTCAGTGTCCATGTGTCAGTGTCCATGTGTCAGTGTCAATGTGTCAGTGTCCGTGTGTCAGTGTCCGTGTGTCCGTGTGTCAGTGTCCATGTGTCAGTGTCCATGTGTCAGTGTCCATGTGTCAGTGTCAATGTGTCAGTGTCCGTGTGTCAGTGTCCGTGTGTCCGTGTGTCAGTGTCAATGTGTCAGTGTCCATGTGTCAGTGTCCATGTGTCAGTGTCCGTGTGTCCGTGTGTCAGTGTCAATGTGTCAGTGTCCATGTGTCAGTGTCCATGTGTCAGTGTCCATGTGTCAGTGTCAATGTGTCAGTGTCAATGTGTCAGTGTCAATGTGTCAGTGTCCATGTGTCAGTGTCAGTGTCCGTGTGTCCGTGTGTCAGTGCCCGTGTTGCAGTCAGCAGTCCCCCTGTCTCACCCAGCAGGCACAGGTAGTTGTTCTCTGCCCGCCGCGGCAGCACCCAGTGCTGGTTGAGGATGTTGTAGAGGTCCCTCGGCTCGCACAGCTCCATCCCCGCCATCCCATCGCGAACCCCAACTGTCGCCGACCGCTCGCAACCCGCCCGGCTTCGTTGCCGTGGCAACGGCCCTGCTGGCTTACCGCGGAGGCCCGGCGGTCGCTAGGGGAGGTATCAGATCCCGCGAGATTTCCGGCCAAGGGAGGGGGGGGGAGCCCGGAAGTCTCGCGAGAGTAGCGGCAGTTCCGCGCAGGCGCTGCGCTGTGGAGGTCGTTGGAGTCACGGAGCCGCGCCATGCTGTCCCGCATCGCCCGTCCTGCAGCCGCTGCCGGTACCGCTGCCCTGCGCCGCGGCATCGCCACCTCCGCGCAGGTACGGGCGGGACCGAGCACCCCCGGAGACGGATAAAGCGTCCTGAGGCGGCCGCGGGTGTCCGAGTGCTGAGGGAAGGGAGGGGAGGGCAGGGCAGGGGAGCGCGGCTGAGGGGAGCGGTGAGGTCTGGCCCTGACGGGACAGGATGGGATGGGCCGGGCCGTACTGAGGCTTGTCTGGTGCTGCCTTCGTGCCCTTTAAGCGCTAAAAGGTTTAACAATAAATCCTTCATGTTCCGAAACCTTAATATTCTGAATCTTTACTATATTCTGAAAGTGTGTGATTTAATTACCAGCAGAGGACTGTGGCTGTGTACATAGAGACCGGCCTCTGTCTTCTAATGTGAGCAGCGCCCAGTGGCACATCACAGAATGGTTAAGGATGTGCTTTGCAAGAGAGGCTGCTGTGATTGCTTTGCTAGGAGTTCTCTTCATTATCAGTGAGGTTTTGGCCTCACGGTATCAGCTCAGCCATAAACACTGGGCATTGCAGTGACTAGCGTTAGACCATGCTTTCCTTTGGGGAGCTTTGTGCTAACCCACGTTTGCTGCAATAGCAAGAGAACCAAGCAGAGGTTAGGCTGATTTAGCTCCTGGGTCAATTAGTTCTCGTCAGAGTATAATAATTAAGAGCTGTTATGGCTTTATCTGGTAAGGCAGTGTGATAGAGAACATTCTTATCACCGGTAACTGCATTACCATGTCACATCTGTGTGTTAGCCCCTGGTTCTCTGTCACTGTGGCGGAGTGTTGCGGTTTCGGGTTCTTCTGGACTTTGAAAGTTGGTTTCCTCTCATCTACAAATAGGAGAAGAGGTGTTTTTGAAAGGATTAACCTCCTCCCAGTGAGCATGTTAAGAGTTCAGATTGCTTCACCAGGGCAGCAAACCAACGTTTCTGTTACTGGCTTCAGCCACCGTTTATCAAAGCTGGAAATTAGAGTCACTTAATGCTCTCACGCCTCAGTCCTTAGGCAGCCGGAGCTACTGTTTTGAACTACTATTTCAGGCATACACATTTTCTTCATATATACAATGGTTATTGCATTTATTGTGGTCCATCAAGTGTATTGATTTGCCAAATGGGCAGGTGTACTTTCTTCTTATAGTAGCAGTGAAAACTAGAACCAGATTTTGCCCCAAGTCAGACCTAGGCTCACAAGGTAGCAGGTATTAGTCTCAGGCAGACATTTCCATCTTCTGGGTTACTTTGCCTAGTTTTGCTTCCCTTCAGATCACAAAAGAACATTTGCCCTACCAGTAAACCTCAAGGTTCTTCGGGAAGCTGTCCTGATGGTCACTTTCTGTGGGCTTAGGCAATTGAGTTTGTGTGGTGCCGCGTAAAAACATGGGGAAATAGAACTAAAAGCAAAGAGAGCATGGTGAAATCCCCAAGGTCACCGATGCAGCTACATCTGCAGTAACCAGAATGGTGTTTGTCATCTTTTGTCCTCAGAACAATGCCAAGGTAGCAGTGCTTGGGGCCTCCGGGGGCATTGGGCAGCCTCTCTCCCTTCTGCTGAAGAACAGCCCGCTGGTGAGCAAGCTCAGCCTCTATGATATTGCTCACACTCCAGGCGTGGCAGCTGACCTCAGCCACATCGAGACAAAAGCGAATGTGAAAGGTACTGTGCGCTGCTGGAAGTGATTCTGAAGGGTGTTGTCTCATACTTGAAGATGCCCATTGCTTGTGAAGGGGAATCTTCACATGATCTTGAAGCCTACTGTCAATTTAAGTAGCTTTTACTCAAGCAGTGTGTGATGAGTGAAGGCTTAGCTGATTAGATGAAGATGGGCTGTGGTTGCACTGTTGAAGGGGAATTCGGAATAACTGGCAGGAAACATTCAGTAAAATCATCTTTGGGGGGGGGGGGGGGGGGGGGGGAAGCCTGAGCGTTGAATACTACAGATAGACTGAAGCTCCCTGGGCATCTGTGTGAGTTCTGTGTGCTGCTGTTCTGAAGGGAGAGCTGTCAAGTTCTGATGAAACCAAAACGTAATCTACTGATCTTCATTTTATCCAAGGATCACCAAGAGATTGCATTTGACTTGAATGCAATCTCTGCAATTCTCTGGGGGTACTGACTAATGCAAGCTAGGGGGGTTGGAGGGTTCAGTACATATAGCAGGAGGAGCTGAGGGGTTTTGAAACAGGTGAATGTGAGATTCTCAGCACTTACTCTGTAAGTTTTGAAACGATATAAGATCAAATGGAATCCATCCATAGTTGTATTGCTTTGCTTTTCAGCATAAGGCTGAGTTGAAGGCTCAGTTAAATAAGGAATTGGGTGCTTCTGGGCATAATCTTGCATTTCAAAGTGTTGGGTATTGAATAGCTGGCAAAAACGTAATGCCTGAATGTCTTCCATTTCAGGCTTCATGGGACCTGAGCAGCTGCCAGAATGTCTGAAGGGCTGTAATGTTGTAGTTATTCCTGCAGGAGTACCTAGAAAACCAGGTATGTTCTCTTTGTTAAAAAGCCCTAGGGCTTCATTGAAGTGTGTCTCTGCAGTAGTGTTATTCAAATAGAGCTGTATCTGGTGCTTTGTGGTACTGTTGGCTTGGGATATAAGTGTCTATTAATGACACTGACCTAGAGTTTGCTTGTTGTCATATCAGATACCTCATTGGCCTGTCTCTTGGATTGTCCCTCCTAAAGTGGGCAGGATTGATTTCTGGGGTTCCTGTGTAGGGGTGAGGTACAAAGACCTCTCATGCAAGTGATCCTGAATCTCCCTTCGTGTTTTTTGCCCAGAACAATTCTCTAGTGAAAAATCTGGTTCTTTGTTTAATTTCTCAGCAGAATAGAAATAATCTATTTGTTTTGCATTAACTGTTCTGTAACTTCTCTGGGCATCTCTGAATGAATGCTACTAAGGCTTCCTGGAATGTCTCTGACCTGCTCCATTTCTGCTCTGTTTTTCAGTTCCCTGTTGGGAGTGTAAGAAAATCCTAGACTTGATAGCCTAGCTCTTTCTAATTCTTAATTTTTCATGGTTAAAGTAGCTGCTGCACCAGAAATAAGAGGTGGCACTTCCAGCAAGCAGCAGTATTGTACACAGAGCAGTTGGCATTCAGACTGTAGCTGTGGAGGTGACTGCAGAGGAGAAGGAGAACTCATCTTAGGAGCAGTTATGCAGTGGTACAGTGGTGTCAGTGTGGGCACACTGTACTTCAAGCTGCCTGGGTGACATAGATCCTGCTGGTTGACACTTGGGTGGGCTGCTCCATCTGAAAGGCCAGAAATCTTTTATTAGTGAGAGGAGTTCTGTTTGGAGCCAATTCATTGCTGCAGCTGCAGAGAGTTTCCTCTTGACGCATGAATCCAGAAGCTGATGTTCCTGTCTCCAGAGCAGAGTTTTGACTGGGATGCTTGCCCATTAGTTAGTAGACTATGAGTAACTTAAAATACTGTATGGGATGTATTTTAGGTATGACCCGTGATGACCTGTTCAACACCAATGCTAGCATTGTTGCTACTTTGACATCTGCCTGTGCAAAGCACTGTCCAGAAGCCATGATCTGTATCATTTCTAACCCGGTAAGCATCTTGTGGAGACCTTGAAAATTTAGAGGTGAGGGGGGGAAAACCCCACCCCAGACTGAGAATACTGCAGTAATCTGAGTTCCTGTTAGTTTTGACCAGTATCTTCAAGGCCTACAGTGTTATGTACAGAAAAGGAGTAAAAGCCTGATTCTACTAACCTATTTTTCTTGGCTGTATTTAAGTCAGAGGAGACTTGGATGTGAAAGTGCGTAGTATCTCTACATTGGTATGCCAGTGGTTCTAGTACAAGCTGGTGTTTTAGCTGGAATAAATATCTTGGCTCCCTAAGGGTACAGGCTTTGTAATGTGAATGAGCAAATTTATTGTCTTAATGGTTATTTAAAATGGATGAGTTCCTGACTGTAAATTGCTCTTCAATTTAGGAATTAAAGTAATTGGCTGCAGTTGACTTCAGGTTGTTTAGTGGCCTGTTCAGTTCATGCACTGGCTTCGTTATTACACTGGTTTCAACAAATGCTTGCCTGTTCTTGCTTATAGGTAAATTCGACCATCCCAATCACTTCTGAAGTCTTCAAGAAGCATGGAGTGTATAATCCCAAGAAAATCTTTGGTGTTACAACGCTGGACATTGTCAGAGCGAATACTTTTGTGGCTGAACTAAAGGTAGTTTATAGTGACAGATGCTGGGGGAAGGATGCTGCCTGTTTCAGTCATCAGATCTATCAACAGTGTGTTTAAAATCACTGCAGAGGGCCGAAGGAGCTCAGATTTCTGTAGAGCTAGAGGTGAAGGCAGTGATTCCCTGCTCTCTTCTCTAGAGCAGCCTGGGATAGGGTTTCTTGCAATATGTGATTCAAGAGTCTTTGACCTTTCCTTTTGATAGCTGTCCCTTGTGAGCAAGCTACTTGTTCATCTTCATTCTGTTGGCATTTGTAGGTGCAACTGGAGGAGAGGGTTGAATTTTGTAGTGTGTATTTGCAAGTCAAACTATCAATGCTGCGTGTTACAGGATATTCTGCAATTATCAGGAGGTGTAACAGGTTCCTGCTCGTAATATCTCTGGTGAACTTTGCACAAGCACTGCTGTTTATCTGAACTTGCACTAATAATATCCTGTACCTGTCTAAAGTTATCAGAGTAAGCTGGAGTTCAGCTCCATAGATCTGGCATTGTTCCTGGAGTACAGCTGCCTCTGAAA